AGATTTAGCTAAATTATTTCAAAGTTACGTTGGATATTAGGTCAGCAGCTGTTGACACCCCAAACATTTTCTAGTTTTGACTCTGATATCTTCCAAAATGTGTTTACTTTCAATTGTGACAACAAAATACAAAATCAAAAAAAAAAAAGATTGTGAACCTTTTCCATCTGTAGAACAAAAACACATTGTGAACATGGCTCCAGTTTAATCGGGATCCAAACACTTCCTTGTGAAGCAAACTTTCCCTCCTTTATACAAACATGTGATGAATGACCTCCCCACAATCTTCTTACACCGAAGGACAACTCATCCTCTCGTTCCTCCAGTTCCTTTTTTTTACCCCACACACACACATCACCATCTCCGGGACAATTACAAACAGCCCACTTCCCATTTATCAGCAACAATTAAACAGCACGGACGCAAGCCTCTTCATGGGCAGAGACGAGGCAGCGGCTGAAGTGGGAGGAAACAAATCAGAGTGGAATGAAGTCGAGCCAACGGTGGCAAAGAGAGAGGAAGGCTGACAGCACAATTAAGGTTTTTAATTCTCTGCTTGAGTAGCCCAGTCCGGTCTTTATGCTAATTAGGATGCCACAGCCATGTAATAAATCTCTATGATCCAGCCTCATTTCCCCCTCTGTCTTTCTGTCTCGTTCACACACACGCACACACACACTGAAAGTTCATCCATCACTTGTCAAGGCCCCATCCATCACCATTCTGATTCAGCAAAACGGTTGATTTTGTGTGTTTTTAACTCGAGCCACGAGTTCTTTCCTCTCTGCGCACACTGTTTACTGGTTGGACAAGTTTCGCATCCAAAGCCTCCACCGCATGTAGTTTCTCTCCCTGTTAACTCCCTTTATTAGTGTTTTTCAGGAATACGGTTCGCGAGTTCTGCACTGCTGGACTCGGCTGCATAAGCACGTCAACATTAAAAGCACTGACGCAGGGAACGCAGAAGATTTTTTTTCCCCCGTTACCCTTCTCATCTCCGCTTGACGGACATACCTAATGATAACAAGTAGAGAAATGAGGGATGGGTGGGGTGAGGAGGCAAACAGAACAACAATCCGCAGATAATTGGGAGGCCACGTTTAAAGACGACTCGAGAGGAAATGAGAGGGATGGATAAGTGGAGAACTGCGGGCCGTTTGTTAAAGCAGCAACCAGCGTATACATTTTCAACCTCATTTAGATCACAGGGACTCGTGCTTGTCTTTATTTTTCTTGCAAAAAAAGTGTCACCAGGTCAATTTATATGCAAAAAACATTACAAAAATGAAGCCATTTCACATTCAGGTGAATGCTTTTCTTGTTGAGAACGTGTAAAAAATTATTTTTTTCAGCAGAAGTCAGCCTTGCTGTACAACTCTACGACCTCTCAGTCTTGGTTTGGTTTTTGTTTGAAAAGCTTTGAGTCTCCCCAACTGGACTGGTGCCGTTGTTTGTTGTTGTCGCTCAGCATCCCCGTCAGACGGCTTGTGTAGCCCGAGGGTCAAAATGGCCACTGCTCCAAGCACCAAGAGCACGTGCAGCAGGTACAGGGCAACGCGGAGACACGTGAGCAGCAGGGAGATGCAGATAGTGGCAACGCACCAAGGGACAGCCAAGATCAGCAGCAGGGACTGATGGAGAGCGCAGAGGACGAGAGACGGGATGGACACGATGAGTCTGAGCAGCGTGGAGGCCATCCAGGAATACAGAGACAGGGGAGATAAGAGGAGAGATACCACCGCCTCGCTCATGGATACGGCCTGCAAGATAAAAAAAAAAAAAAGTACAAGAAACGGGTTTGATAAAAAAAAGTATGTCTCTCTAAGCTGAGTCTTTTTTTCTACACCCAGCAGACACAGAGCACCTTTATCAGCTGTGTGGAGACTAAGTTTCTCCCCACTGGTTTATTTTAACTCACTTCCTTGTTTCTGCCTGTAAAACACACCCAAGATCTTCACCATTTTAGTTCTGTTTTGGGTTTGTTTTGGTAATCAAACTGTCCAGGGTACAAAACAAATCGTCTTTAATGAAACACATATTTTCTGCTTCCTAATAGATTTTTTAAACTAAGATTGTTTTGTGTTGAGAAATGTTTTGTTCAAACCTTAAAACCAGTGGTGGGTCCAGTTCCCCTAAAGCAGTGGTTCCCAACCCTGGTCCTCAACTACCCCTGTCCAGGATGTTTTCCCCTGCTATTCAGCAGGTCTTCAGTATTAATCACTCATTCATTCAAACCAGGTGTGTCGAATCAGGGAAGCATCTAAACATGTAGTAAAGGAGTCCTTGTGGAACATGGTTGAGAATCACTGCTTTAATACGTTATCTGATTTATTATTTACAAATAAATGGCAAAGAATCAATGACTTCCAGGGGCAATACTAAAAAAACATAAAACTGAGTCAATGTTATATTTTGAAAATGTCTCATCAAGCTCAGAGAAGCTCTTGAGGTGTTGTCAACATTTAAATCTGTGATTTTTAGATGTTTCCCTGATTTGACACACCTGGTTTGAATGAATGAGTGATTAACAGTCTTCTGAAGACCTGCTGAATAGCAGGGAAACAAGTAAAACATGATAGGGGTACTTGAGGACCAGGATTGGGAACCACTGCCCTAAAGCACAGATAGAAGAACTAAATTTTTTGATTAGTGCTTTCGCTAATTTTTAATTCATAAGTGGATTAGCACTTGCTAAATTTACAGGCTAAATTTAGAAGCACTAACTGAGGTCTTTAAATTTTATTGACCAACATTATTGTTCACAGTTGAGGGTGAAAGCTGTCATACATTTTGTTCATATGTGTGTCACTTATCTATAAGGTCATGCGTCAAACTGAAGGCCCGTGGGCCAAATGTGGCCTTGGCCGGCCAAGGGCACCAAGTGACAACATCCTGCACACAGTAAATATTGTCTCATGTTGACTGAAGAATGCTTCATGTGTCAACTGGATATTAGTGCTTTAGAATTAGCTTTCGTTAAAATTTTCAGTGCGTTAGTGCTTTAGAATTAGGGGACCTAAATGAGTTAGTGCTTTCGGGTTAGTGCAACTAATATTTAGATTAGTGCTGCCCACCACTGCTTAAAACCAACATTGTTACACACAATACCATGTCATGCTCAGAGTGTTTGGAATGACTTAGCTAATATTACATTCAGTTTTACCTCAGTCTCTGTACAGTTGACTAAATTGCCATTTTTTAAATGTCAGAATCCAATGGTTAATTAATTGCAGATGTTAATTTAATAATTACTTTGAGAGTTTCATTAAAAATCATTTCGTAGATCACAAAATATTTTGCAGACAAATGCAGGGAACAACCCCATCACCTATAAAACGTCTGCTTTCACTTTTTATTGTCTGGTGATAAGATTTTATTTTTCTGTGTTGCCACAGGGAACAACAAAAAATACTTATAAATCATATTTTTTGCAGGTAAAGTTTCTTGAAAGTTGATTTAATCACACAAACATGACCACAACATATATAGATTAGGACATTTGTACTATTTTGGCCTGTTAGAAGGGTTTGATATTAAACCAGACAATGGCGAAAATGAATGCAACCACAAACACATAATCCATCTAACAATGACATGAAATGGCTACATATAGTTACTAAAACTCCAAGATGTATTTCATCCTATTGTTTCTTTTTCTGATCCTTGAGATTTACAGCATATTCAAAGTCCTTACAGCACATGTAAGCCCAACAACCTTTGTCATCCACCTACCTCACAAACATTTCTGCTCTCACTTGACCTCTGAAGCCCTGCAAAGTTAACAACATTCAGACATACTGACAGAAAAACAGAAACACACACATCTGCTTCACAAAAGGACAATTTAAATCCCATTAGTGTTTGTTTTATAAGAAACAACTTTACTCACACAGGAAAAGGAGAATGAGCGACACAGCCAGCAAACTCCTCATTTCTCCTGCAGAGCTACAAGCAGCAAACAGAAAGATTCTGACATAAGCTGTCCAAACATCATCACAAGGTTCTTCACACAATCCAGCTACTTGATTACAGTAGCTTAATTAAAAATAAATAAGATTTCTTCTCACCCAACACTGAGTAACTGTTGTTAAACAGAATATCAGTTCAATCGTTCTCCAACACTGCTTTATATTCTGTTTTTTTCCTCCTGATTTAATCAAGTAATCCTCTTTCTCTCAGTCACAGGGTCTTTTGTTCTAGTCTTCAAGCAGGAATGGATTAATGAAAGAGTCCAGAATGAGTTCAGGGAATATAGGCGCCACCTGTTTGAGGGGAGGGATGATGGCAAACGCCTTTAATAATAGATCATGATAAGATTTAGCTGAGGAAGAAACCTGAATACTGTGCTAACGAAGCCAAAACTTTAAAAGTAAAGATATGAATCTGGATTTTTATCAATCTTTAAAGCTTCAAACAAAACTCTGATCCTCCAAACTGATCCCAGGAGTCACTACTACCACAACTACCTAACTCCACCCTTCATCTGTCATAAATCACCCTCCTCCACCAACCTCATTAGATTAAACCTCCTCTTTTATCAACTGAACCCAGTTACACAGCCATCTTGGATCAGGTTGTCTCCAAACGTGAAGTTGCAGATATGCATCTAATGATTATTTTCTGATTACTATTTTTTTAATCCACTCAGTACTTTGAGATAATGTGCTAATTGAGTGAATAACTAAAGATTAATAGGAAAGTTTCAAAGATCCTACGCAATCTGTTAGGGCTCAGAATACGTTGGAAGTCTCAGGTACCAACCCAAGTTTTAGCTCAATCAAAGCTGCATCAAGGTAACTGAGGTGCAAAATCTTACATCAATCATTTTAAAAGCTCAGAAACGCTGTTGCTATGCTACACCTTCATCTTTTCTAAAGTGAAGTGAAGCCTTCAAGAACAGACGGATGATGACAGTGTAAACACACCACTGCTTCTCTGACTGAACACAAAAAAAGGAAAATGTTTGGTGTCCAACAACTAAACCCACTGACACTCTTTTGTCTTAGTAAAAGCAGAAATCATTTATTTTGTTCCTTTTACTTTGTCAATAAAACTATCATAAAACAGAGTGACAATGAGACAGAGAAACGCATAAAGAACAGTGTAAAACATCAGACAATTGAAGGCATTAAAAAACAAACAGTGATAGTAAATTAGTGATGATCTGTGTCTTTAACTCGTTCAGCCAAGTGTTACTCCTTCAGGGCTGAATAACATCAAGACAGAAAGATGTTAATAAGCAGATCAGAAGGATGGTGCTATGTTTCATACTCATTTATTTATCAAAAGAAATCCTATAGAAATCACTTTAATAATAATAAAGGGAAGTAAAACATGCTCTACATAAAGCAAAATTAACACACAATCCTGACATAAACTTAATAAATCATGTTTTTTATATAATGCTGACCTAAAGGCAGAAATATTCCAGAGAAGACATAATAATGTGCACATCTTCCTCCGTTCCAATTTCTCACTCACTGATGAGTCTTTCTCCATTCATGAAGACACAAAGGAAGGTTGTGTTACAAAAAAGCAGCATCAAAGTCCTTTGTGTTGATAAGTGGAAGCAGTATAACTGCAGAGAGCTTTTTAACTCAGATACTGGATGTAGAGAGGATGTCCTCCACCAGATGTTTGTAAACCCAAGCATCTCCCTTCAGCCTCTGGCGACGAACCCCAACGACCTCTGGCCTCTGCAGCAGGCACACCTCCAGCTCAAACGCCATGGTCACCTTCCCAAAGTCCCCCCAGGTCTGACACTTCAGGGTGTACCTGAGCAATGGGCGGGGCATACATTAACACAGCAGAAGTTGAGAAAAAAAAGAAAAGGATAGTTGTTTTGTGAGAAAGCAGAAGAAACTGTGTGTGATCTCACCCTTTCTGTGTGAAGTCAACATTTTTCTCCGGCAGGACAGAGAGGATCTGGTTTAGGACCTGATCTGGATTGGTCTGACTGGTCAGAGTCACATTATACTGAGCCTGTAGAAAAACACAAACATGATCAGAAAATTTGGAAACTCTAACGTGATGTTAATTCAACATTCACACTGATATTTTTCATTTAATTTTTGTTTGCAGATACCTTAATCTTACGCGGGGCGTCCCGCTGGGCTCGTCTTTTACTCGGGGTGAGCATGGTGATTACTTTATCCAGGCCTCTCTCCAGGGAACCAAACATTTTCCCTCCTCGCTTCTTCTTCCCACTGTCTTCTGTGGCAGCCATATCCAGCGACCTAGACCTGCGGAGCAAACATGATCTCACAAACATCGACCTTCGTCCTGCATGATTATTTCTCTCTGTCCTAACAATCTCTTCTGAAGCCCCCCGAAGCATCCATCGATCCTGTGGTCCGCTCACCTTCGCTCTGGACTGAACGCCAGTATTTCTATGTTTGCAGAATCCTTGTTTTCTGCTGCTTTCTTCTTATTTTGCTCCTTAGACACACTGTCACCACCTATAACACACACGACACAGGAAGTAAGTTCCTATAGGTAATACTTTGTGTGTTCCAGAGGAGCATTTTGGGAAGGCTGAATTCAACAACTTGTCAGTGTGAATGAGATACAGAAATAAAAACCTTTTTAAAAATATTTTTCCTTTTTTATCCCCAACATTGTTTTGTCCCGCTCTGGTAGTACGACGTGGTACTTTTTAATTACGAGAATAGAGTCATAATATTACCAGTAATAAGTCATAATCTTGTCCATTTTCCATTCCTGGGTCGGCTCACACCCGCTGTGGACAGCCTCTAAGTGTGTCGCTGTGTTTATGAAGTAGTCCGCAATTACTGTTGGGTCACTGTTAATGTAATATGCTTTCAATGCAATGCCGTACGGCTTCAGTTTATCATATGAATCCATAGAGCTAAATAACACAAATACCAAAGACTAGCTTTACAAGATGCTCAACATTCTTTATTTTAACACTGTGGTAAGGCTGCGTTTTCATGACTTTTTTTCCTTATAATAATAATAATAAAAATCTTGTATTACGGCTTTATTATGCCATCATACCGGTAGAGTGGTGACAATTAGTAGATTCAATTATTTGTACCAGATTAAAAAAACTTAGGAGTTTGAATATTTCCTTTAGTATCTTTCATTAATTTACAGCAAAGTTCAATAAACATCACACATAAGAACCTAATCTAAAAGCAACTGGAAGGAGATGGGAAACCATTACGGTGACAGTCCTTTGCTCCTGCATGTGAAATCAGCTGACTTTGGGAACACAAGGATTAAACAAAACTCACAGACACCAACCACCTCCACCCACACCAGAGAACTGGGCCTCAGTGGCGAGCAAACACATGTCACTACAGCCCATGTGGGACAGCAAGCAAAGGGAGGAGACAGCTACACCTGTCACAGCACACGCCTAGGGACAGACATACACAGACCACTGTGTGTGTGTGTGCGTTTGGACAAGGATGTCACAGGCTGCAGAGTGTCTGCTCTACACTGTGGCTCAGTAAACAGGAGGCAGCACAGAGAGCGGTGTTAAGCGGCGCTCCAAGGATTCATCATCAACTCAGCTACAGTAAATCTGCCGGCTGTTGGCCAAATTTCAACGAGGAACTAATGAGGCCGGACATCTGAGCAGAAACGTCACCATGACAAATAATTAGGGCTCTAATGATCCTCCCATTCATTTTATTGCCCTTCGTTTACAGATAAGTGAACGGAATTAGCTTCCTGATAATAAGCTCACCTTTGAGTTGACAGTGATAAGGGTGTGTGTCCATTTTCTGTGCTGTAATGACGGCTAAATCACTGAAATATGAGAAGCTTTTTAGATAAAAAAAAAACCAGGCCCAATAAATGAGTTTATTACCAAAAGACAATTTACTTGCAAATGTGCAGCATGTGGTTGTGGCACTTGTAATTATGAGACGAGCAACGGACAGAGGGAATGGGATAAATGAACATAGAAAGTGACAGCAAAATAATGCCCATTTAATCTAATAGCTCTTGTTTGAAAGAACAAACAATTATAAAATACAAACAAATTCAATGAGGTCCTGTTCCGCCTGAATAAAAACTATCAAAAATAAGTTCTCCTCACCTTTAGGTGTTCCCGCAGTGGATTTGGTGGCGCTGTTTGTGTTTTTGTTGGGAGTGGTCAACACGTTCCTGTTGGGGCGAGCGCTCTTCTTGCTGGACGCCGGGGTGCGTGGCGGAGGCAACGCAAACGTTTCATCTTTTTTCTCCTCGGCGACGTTCTCCTTGTTTTCGCTGATCTGTTCGCGGTCTTTCTCCTTCCTTTTCTGGTGGTGTGGCGTCGGCGTCCTCCCCCTCTCTGCTGTCGGGCTGGAAGCGTATCTGTTTTCCACTGAAGGTGAGGCCAGCCTCTTCAGAAAACAGGAAAGGAAATGTTTAGCAGATCTCTCTTAGAAGAGTCTTGCTGGTTTTATTCAAACATGTGCAGTTTTTAAAATCTAGGTGATGTAATTCTTTTTTTTTAAACCTAAATCCAAAAAGCACAATCACGCTCTTTTTTCTGTTGCTTTTGGATGCTGTGACTTAACACAAGCTTGTCTCATTTTGTTTTTTTTCTGAATGAACTCCTCTTGCACACAGAATCAGCTCCACACACCGTGTCTCTGTTAGTGTTTCCGTTCAGATGACCTTGGACTCTCTGGGGCGTGTGCTGTTGGACAGAGGTCCACTGGCAGTCATCAAGGTAGTCTGAGCAAAAGTCCAAAGATCCAATAATCACAGCATCGTCATCCTCACTGTACTGAAGGAGTTCTCTTGTCTGGGGAAGAGAAAAAAATCCTCCATGAAAAACAATATATTTGAAAGTTAAGTACCAAAACATCCTGTTTTTATTCCTTTATATTAATTTTTTAAGGATATCATAAAAAGAAGCTGTCATGTTTCTTACCTGCAGTTGGTGCAGAGGAGACCCCTCGTAGACAGCTGCTTCAGGACACAGACGGACAGGCTTTCCTCTCTGCTTCTTCGACAGCAGCAGCAGGTAGGTGGCTGTGGTTTGGTCATACTTCCACTGTGGGGGTTAAGATCTATTAAACTGCTCATCTAACACAACATATGCATGCTACACCACTAACTATTTATACGCATCATTTGCAACACCATAATCCAAACCACAGGACAGCAAACAATGTGTGAGTACACACAATTAGGGGTGCTCACCTCTTTCACGAGTGCTGTGGTGCTTTCTCTTGACCGCTTCATGTGGACTGCCATCTCTGTAATGCAGTCTTCATCTAGATGGCCAAGCTGCACAAAAAGACTTAGAATGTTTACACAAGATCTAAAGACATTCATATAAGTAAATAAATTAGTGCTGCTTTTGAAATAATTACTTGTATGCTTATTTGAGGGAGAAAAAAAACTAACAGGAATCGACTCAACAGGGAGGATCCGAGACAGAAATGATGCAAAAACACAACTTAAACATCTTCACTTGAAGATTGTGTGAGTTTTTTTTTTATTAAGTTGCTGCTTTCTGAGTGTCGGTACCGGCTGCTTGCTGTGCCACTCCACAGGGCTGTTATAGTCCTTCATAACCCAGGGATGCTCCAACAGATGCCGGACAGTCAGACGACGCTTTGGGTCCACCTACAGGACACATGAGGAAACTGCAACTTAAAAAAAGGAGGAGAGACTACAGAAGAGTCTGTCAAAAACATTTACAGCTAGTAAGCTAAATGAAATGAATTAAGACTACAAGGAGGTCACAGTGTTTCTTAAGGCCCTGTCACACTAACGTTTTAGACAACTCATGCCAACTCCTGAAAATGTTAAAGACATCTAAGCTGAAGATGGGATTTAAAAGATCAACTGGAAGCCTCTTTTAGGTGTGTACATACTGTAATACTAACAAACTGATCAAATATATCTTTTATTAGTAATCTAAACATAAAAAAATTGCATAAGTTGTTTTAGAGTGACAAGGCCTTTAGATAAGCCACCTTTATTGTAATCGTGATAAGTTTGTTTTATTTGAAACGTTTATTTGTGGATTTACCTGCAAATCTCTATACATAAATACTAATTTAGAAGAAAATGTTTAAAATTATAACGAATGCTAAAAAACACAATAAAAAATAATTGAAATGATGATTTGAATTAGACAAAAGTAACGGAGGGAAAGGGACAAAATTTGTGTGTTGTTAAAAATATGAGTTTTGTTTTATTTTGATTTGAGGGTAGCCACATTTGGCACAAAAATGAAGAAAATTAATTTTCAGTAATTAACAAATCTGCATTGAACTCCGGCTACAAACGCAAAACAGTTTCAGAAAATTTGACTTCATGAGGCCAAGATTAGCACGAAAGGTAAGTGTACACAAAGCTGGACTCAAACCTGTGGCTCCTACGTGTCGGCACTTCCAGCACTTAAATAAACTAAATTACTGTTTCACTCTGTCTGACTGTGCGGACAGTTTTCTTGCTGATGTGTTCCAGACTGGTCATCACAAAGAACAGAAGAGAGCAAACAGAAAACACACCTGCATCATCTGGTTGAGGAGGAGGATACTTCCTGTAGAGAGCCACTGAGGGTTATCGTATTTACCTCTCTGGAATAAAAAAAAGAGACTTATTTTTCTTAATTTTATATAGATGGTGGTAGTAAATTTGACTATAAATGCCAGTGATTTAATGGAAATACAACAGAAGCAGCAATGTTCTTACTGTAATCTTCCTATAAAGGACCATGCAGTTGTCATCATCAAAGGGGAGGTAGCCACAGAGCAGAGCGAACAACAGAACCCCCATGCTCCATACATCAGCCTGGAGGTTACACACACCACAGCAGCAGCATTTCAGCATCGAGTGTTACAGGGAGGAATTTTGAGTCATGCACCAGTAAACATGATCAGGACACAAACGGGCAGGTAATAATAGTTCATAGCAAGAACAAATGCAAACTCAGGTCCTCAAGGGCCGCTATCCTGCATGTTTTCCTTGTTTCTTTGCTTTAACACACCTGATTCAGTGCTTCAATTAACTCCTTAATTTCTGTAGAAGTCTGTTAATCATATATTCATGCAAATCAGGTGTGTTTGAGCAGGAAAACAAGAAAACATGCAGGACAGCGATCCTCGAGGACCGGAGTTTGACACCCGTGCCTTAAACCATCTTAAAAAATCAAACCCCAACATTTCAAAGCTGTAAGCATCTAACATGTCTTACCTCTGATCCAATGTATGTTTTTCCCTGGATGAGTTCAGGAGCAGCGTATGCAGGACTCCCACAACACGTCTTCAGCTCATAACCCAACCCCCCCTGAATAGGAGCAACCACATGATAACATAAGGATTACATGAAACAAAAATGTAAGGTTTACACTTGGCCTCATTGTAATAAAAAATAAAACCAAATGCAATTATTACTTTTCATCAAATGCACTTATTTTGCATTTTTGGACACACAGGGTCCATCAGACAACGTAAGGATATACCTTGGGTTTGGCACATAAGCCAAAGTCTATGAGCTTCAAGTTATGGTTCTCATCAATCAGCAGGTTTTCCTAAAGTGAAGATAAATAAAAAATTTTAGTTGATATTAAAATGATTAATTGTCATAATCATAAATATCCAGCACTGTACCAACTTCTATATATTTTGCTTTCACGTAGCCAGATGTTTTCTTTCTGTCTAGCACCGGATCGTTTTCAGAAGAACGTGTTTGTTAAGTCACAACTCTAGTCCTAATGAATCACTCAGGCATGAAAATGCTTCCAAACTAAAGGGATAAACCAGTGTTGTGTCTACACATAACACACAGCTTAGCAAAGAAAGAATTTTAAATTGGATCTTTAGGCTCTTTGTTATTAGCAGCCTGTCATAAAATCACAAGTGGTTCCAATTTATTTAGTACAACTTTTTGACAGATAGAAAAGCTTAAAACTTGACAGACAGTTGATAAACTGATGCATCTCTCAGGTTGTGTGATGTCTTTGTTGGATTTTTATACCTTGAAGAGACACCTTTCAGATACTGATTATGTGCTTTATACTGTAAAAAATATTGTTCTGGTCAGAAGTGGGACAGAAAATGAATAAAAATCAAATGTTCAAAGATAAACTTTGAAAGAGCTTTGGAAAACCTAAAGAAATGCAGAGTAGGATCACTTTAAAACTAAACCAGGCTGCTTGGAAGCAAAATGTAAATAAACTAGAAGTAGTTTTACATTTTAAGGGTACTGTCCATGTGTTGTATCACATACTTCATAAACATGATTGTGTTTTGTACCGGTTTAAGGTCTCTGTGTGCGTATCCCTGGCTGTGAACGTAGGCCATCGCTGACACAATCTGCCTGAAGAACACTCTGGTTTCCTGCTCCGACAGTCGGTCCTTTGCTATAATGTAATCGAACAACTCTCCCCCTGGGCAGTACTGAAATGGGGGGAAAGGAGAAAAACATTTATTGGGAGAAAAACAAAAATATATATATCCTTTCTTATCCATACACTGTGTGTACTGTTAGTGTTGTTTACCTCAAGAATCATAAATATCTGTGAAGACGTTTCTATGACTTGGTACAGTCGACAGATATGCTGATGACTCAAGTTCTTCATGGCTTCTATCTCCAACTTTACACGGGGCAGGTCTTCCTGTTAGTGTCACAGTTTACACTGCCATCAGTAAAACATTTTAACTAAGGAGAGTCCAGATATATTCTCTTCGTACAGACTATGGTGCTGATACTTGTAAAGTATTTTTATTAACTGTGACAGTAAGAGAGTAGCAAAACACTTGCCAGGCTGGACTACCTTTTCTCTTTTTTTTGTCTTTTTGCCTAGGAGGCCATGTCTGTTGCTTAAAACACTCAAATTTAGTAAAATTATTAGATGTTTTTATGTTAAAGATAGCAAAGAATTGTGGGGCCTCAAAGGTCACTTTGCAAGTACTAAAGGCTCACATATGGCATAGACTTTTAATTATGTTTATGATCGAATGACTGGACAAACAAAATAAATATATTTCTTAAGATTACAGGTAGGGTTGCATAATATCTTTGAGCATATTGCAAAAGACTACCTGGACTAGGGCTGCCACAAACGATTATTTTTATAATCGATTACTCACTGATTATTTTTTCGATTAGTCGACTAATCGGATCATACATTAATTGAATGTAAAACATTTATAAAATATATAATATATATATAAAAGAGCTTATCGCGCCAGAATGCAGCTGCTATTATATAACCATGGTTAGATTTTAGCTATATGCTAACTAAAAATAATTGCTGTGGAAGGCAAGTTCTGCCTTGCAGATATTGCACAGGTTTCTCTTTCATTTTCTTAAAAGGATCCCACACTTTTGAGCTCCGTTGTCAGGTAGCCATGATACCAGAGCCTGTCTGTATAATGTCTTGTGACGCCTACGGCCTACCGCAGTTACCACCACTGTGCATGTGTGTCAAGGACAGAAAGGCAGACGTGGCAGTGGAAGGTGTCAAAGCAGTTTGGAGAGAAAAACAAAGTAAAGAAAAAAAAAGACAAAACGATTAATAGATTATTAAATTAGTCATCGATTATTTTAATAATCGATTAGTCGTCGATTAATCGACTAATCGTGGCAGCCCTAACCTGGACTGCAATAGATCATTAGCCTGGAACCTTGACTTCCTACGCAGCTCCGCTCAATTCTACTTTCCCTTCACTGCTCCTTGTACGAAGCAAAGTGAAGGACAGGGTCTGTTTTAAACCAGGCTAATAGATCATAGGCCATTTTGAAGCCTTCTTTGGGGATATTATATTATCTCTGGTTAATTCAACAGACTCTCATTGGCCTTGATGCCCACACTTGGTTTAGATGATGTTGATGACAGAAAAGAAAGAAAATAATCAAATTAAAGACAGTTTTCTTGATTAAATATGCTTTACCCTTTAGAAATTATTGCAGCATAACTTTATATCAAAAGTTTTAAATCGTTTTGTTTTGTGCTTAAACAGATTTTTTTTCCTGACTCACCCCAAGATCTTTCTTATTCATGATTTTGATGGCAACCTTCTCTCTTGTCAAGATGTGTCGACCCAGCTTGACTTTCGCAAAGCCCCCTGTAAAACACACATGGTTTATAACCCAAGCCAGAGAACAACACAGATGATCTCACACGTTTTGCTAATACAGATTCATGATACCTGAGCCGATAGTCTCATAAATTTCATAATGGTCTGCAACTCCGCGCAGCTCAGTCCTTTCCACAGGCATCCCGGATCCAGCTAGCCAAAAATAAACCTAAACAGGGAAATATATAAACTCGTAAATTCCCAGTCTCCGATTATTTATTAAGATAATGTTTTGAGTTTAACCTGAACTTAACTTGCTAACATTTTTGGCTAACTATCAAACAAAAGACGGTACTACTAAGTAATCTAAATTAAAAACAGCAAGAGTACGATGTTCTGCAATAAAGGAGTGAGACTTTTCGATGATAAAAAAAAATTACCTGAGTTAAGTCTGAAAACAAACGTAGACCACAAAACCCTCAAGCTGTAAAATGTTTGGTTTCCACAAGTTTGAATTTCGCTCTAATGTTGACGGCACTTCCTGCTTCCGGTCTGTACTGCACCCCTCGTGGCGCATTTTGGTATTGCAGCCATAAAACAAGGAGATGCAGTTTCTGGATCAAGTTGAGAGTGGTGTTTTGTTATTATTCTAAAAACGAAATTACAAATTCATATGCAAACACTTGGGAAACTATATAAATCTGACCAGGTAAATCCCACTGGACGCACAGATGTCAAACATTGCGACTCAGGGTCCAAACCAGGGATCAAACCCATGACATTATTGCTGTGAGGCAACAGTCGTAACCACTACTCCACTGTTCTATGTGTCAGATCACAGCAAAATCCAGCTTGGTCTGATCAAATCAAGTTTTTCTCTGATGCTGCAAATCTAGTAGTTCCACAACAGTAAAGATACTATAATGCATCTATAATACATCTAAAGTTGAAAGCTTCTTTAATGAAAACTTATAGAATATCAAAAACTTCTGAAAATTGGTCTCGTTTAAACAGTTACCGAAATAAATGTGTTGCTGAATTACGCAAAGCCAAACAACAATATTTTAAAAATCAAATTATTTCAGCCAGTAAGAATATCCAAAAATATTATGGGAAACGATTAAGTCAGTGACAGGTGAAAGTAACAATAAAACATTTAATAACAATTCACAAATCTCAGTAAATGGACTTCTTGTTTCTGATCATGAAAAAATTGCTAACTTATTTAATGAATATTTTATTTCTTCAGTAAGGACATCATTACCGGGACAAGCTAATAGTTTAAAGTTATTTAAATATCCTGACACTTCAAAGCAATTTTCATTTTCTGAAATTTCACAGAGTGATGTTTTGAATACACTCCAATCTCTAAATGGCTCACATGCATTTGACAAATATAAGATAAATATGGATTTCTTGAAAATGCATGCCAACACTTTTTTTTTTACCATTGTTTCATCATTTGTTTAATTTATGTATTGTGCAGTCTATTTTCCCTGATGCCTGGAAGTTTGCTCAGATTACTCTCATTTTTAAATCTGGTGATCCAACAGAAGTTTCAAACTATCGGCCAATTTCTGTTCTTCCTATTTTTTCTAAGTTACTTGAAAAAACATTATTTAATCAACTACTTCAGCATCTAGAAGCTAAAGCTAATTTGACTGATAGGTGTCAGGTTGTGAAACATGGAAGCTCTGTGTCCGGGTCTCTGCCCTGTTCCGTGGGAGTTCCGCAGGGTAGCATACTGGGCCCATTGCTTTTCCTATTATAAATAAATGACCTTCCAAAAATATTGAAGTATTCAAATATTTTAATGTATGCTGATGATACTGTTCTTTTTTGTCTGATTTCAATATTGAATCTATTAATAGTCAGTTAMAAGCAGATCTTCAGACATTTCATGGTTGGCTTCAAGATAATCTTTTGTCAATTAATGTTAAAAAAAACTGTGTGCATGTATTTTTCCTCACCCAGGAGACATTTCAATATAACAAATCAACTCACTTTTTTAAACAAACCCCTTGATATTGTCACTACCTACAAATATCTTGGAATTACTTTGGATTCTCATTTGACTTATCGTGATCATGTACAAGTCTTAACCACTAAGTTGAAACAGAAATTATACGTTTATTCAAAAATTAGATCCAATCAGACATCTTCTGTTTCAAATATCTATCTTCATGCCATTATACTCTCAACCATGTCGTACTGTTTACCTGTTTGGTCTCTTACAACAAATGAAATCTTAGAACCCATAGTTAGGCTCTACAACAGGGCCTACAAAATTCATAAAAAACTTCCTGGTTGGACTCATCACTGTACAGTTCTTTCATTGTCTGATGCCTTGACTTTTCAGAATTATGTTTTGTATAGTGGGATTAATTTATATTTTCAGATCTTCCAAGGTGCCAATTATGGAACTCTCCGCATTGTTGCCCAAATCAAATTCTGGAAGTGGTCATTCAACTAGATCTGTTACAAAAGGACAACAGATATTACCAACTTTTAAAAACTGTTACAGCCAGAGGTCTTTCTTCTTTGTTTATACTAAAGCATGGAATGACATTCCTCAAAACATAAAGTCCATTTCAAAACTACAGCCCTTTAAGAAGAATCTTGTCTGCCATCTGCTGGACACTTTTTGTTGTGCTCATATTTAGACGTCCTATTTTGCAAATACTGCCTTTTTGAAATTTGGTATGCTTGTTTGTCTTTGTGTCTATGGTGTATAATGATGTGATTGTGATGCTGTATTTCTGAGTGTTTTATGTGCTGCAGAACAGGAACCTGCTGTAAAACAGCAATTATGCTGAGTCAGGTTTGATTTTTAGTAATCTTTTCCTGTTAAATCAAATCAAATCAAGTCAAGATGATAAGCTTTCTGAAAACCTTTGGCATGTTAATGACATTTAATTGTCTGTATGTGTGAGTGATGATGTGGATGGTTAGCAACTTAAGACAGCCTTTTTCTGTTATCTGTTGGTCTTAATTCTAATATTGTATTTTGTTGTGAACTGGCATTTATCAGATATTTTACAGCTATATCTGAGTTTTCTGACACAATTACGATTGCTGACCCAACAAATACTTTTCAGTTTCCTTTCAATATGATACAAAAATAATAATTATAACTGGGAGATAGTTTTACAAGGCTTCCTGCTAAATATTTCTTTTTAAATGAGGTGGGTCAAAAACATTTTACTTTCATTACAGTTTTATATCCTCGTGCATTAAAATTTCAATTATTGTAGACATTTTTATATAAAAATTACATTTTGTAAAGTAACATCTACCTATTCTTGAACAGTTTCATGAGAAACCTTGACTTGCGTCATGTGTGCTTGAATAAATGTGCATCTTTACATTCCTATTTGACACAAAATCTGCTTTGATTTATTGCAGAAAAAAAAACTTTTACCAGGGAGTTTGCCCCAAATTTAACATTCATTTTTTTTAAGTTTACACATTTGTGTAAGATATTTTATACCCCTAACTTAAGTGAAAAAAAAGTAAAAAATTTAGGATTTTTTCCCATCAAATTGATGCGACATCAGCTCCACATTCAATCAGGATATTAAGACCATTGTTTTAATGGGACAGCTGGGCTGACAGCATGTAAAAGGCCATCATTCAATCACATGAACTTAAAGCACAAAAACATATAAAAAATGACAAATCCACATTGCATTCTGTCTCTTCTTACAAAATAATTACAAAAAAGAAATTAAAAGCACAGAGCATGTACACACTCTCCTATTATGCAGCTATAAATGTTAGCAATGTTCCCGAGGTGCTCCGGAGTCTTTGTGTCGAAGGATGCAAGACTGCACAGGTAGTGTCCATGCAAGTAGGCTGAAAACGATGTGGGGAGGTGAAAGAAAAACTAAGTATATATATATCTCTAAGGTGAGCCTAGCCTTTGGTTTGGAGGGTTGCAGGGTCCACATTCACAAGAAAATATTATGTTCGACTAAAATCTGACACCATTACCATAACATTCAAGGCTCTCATTTCATGCTGATAAACTCATATTTTCGTATATATTTCTACGTGAACAAAAATGACAGCTTTGTCTTTTTTTTAAAGTACACCTTATGACAGTTCTTTTATTTTGCTGTGTCCTTTGCATATGAGACAGTTGTTAATGTTGTTCTTATAAAATAACTCTACAATATCCTCTAAAAACAGGAAAACTGTAAACTCATGTTTATAGTTCAAAATTTAGACTTTTTTTAAACAAGATAGTACAGAAAATACTATGACAAGTGACATATTCTACCTAAATTTCACGGTCGACCCGAAAAAAAAAAAAAAAAAAAAAACTTTCAGACCCCACCTGATTTGTTCAGCTTATTGAATTAAATATCTGGTCTGTTTTTTGTAGCTTTGTACCAACATTCAATGATTTTGATACTGTAGAAAAACAAAGACAAATACAGTAGGATACAATACAGCAAAAATACAAAAACTTGACTTTTTTTTAATGGTAGGTTATGATACAAACCCAGAATCTGATCTTGACACTAAAAACAAAACAAAAAAACTAAAGTTGCCCCCTGAGGTGAAATAATAAATTAACATCCATGTCTGAAACCAGAATTGACACTAGATAATTCACTACTTGTTTGTTTGTTTTTTTAAGTAGTGTACTATGTAAAGGACATTAGGCAAAACGTACGTGTCTGATGTGACAGTTAACATGTGCAGTGCGAGTGCACCAGATTGGGTGGTTCTGCTCATGTGGGAGACGTTAATCTCGGGGAAAAACGTGAAGGCACATTAAATTGAGACAGAATGCGCCTCAAGAATCTAAAACAACTGTGATTTAGAGGGAGGAACGTTTAAAAACAGGCAGGAACAAGAGGAGAAAAACGAGTTTAAAGTTTCATTTCAATCTGAGTACTACGAGGCAGTGAATCGAGTTAAGGCCAAATTACTTGAGAACGTCCAACTTGAACGCCCAGAGAGCAAAGATGATGTTAGACCTGACATACCCATGAGTTTCCAACCAGAATCACATTTTGTGTTGTAACCTGGCTCGCTACACAGGTTTTCTTTCTGAAAATGATGTCATTTATATATAACAAGGCTTTTATGCTCTTATTTTCAATGTTATTATGAACAATAATGTATACATGTATGTTACAAAGAATATAGATGGGTTTCAGATTACATCTCAATAAGGAATACATCCAAGCATTCAAGGGTGAGTACTTTGGCTTTAAAACGTTAGTCTAAATATGAAGCGCACATCAAAACATGTGTCGTGAAAAATAAAACTGACAAACATTTTTTAAAAAAATGAACTGAATGGCTCACACTGTAATCAGTTAAAAACACTCTCAACCATTTCTTCTTAAAGTAAAAAAAACAATCATGAAACTAAGAAGAAATGTATGTTTTCAAGTTTCATCTTTTCACACTCCACATTTTTATGTGTAATCAGACTTGTTCAGAGCTGAAAAGGAATAAAAATAAACAGAACACTTGAGTATGGAGGGCTTCAAGAACGAAGTTAGTTTTTCATTCCTCAAGTGCAAGTCGATAAAAAAAATGCTACAACTTGTACGATGCTCCTGTCAACACGCAGGTTAAGCGGCAGGCCAAGACCCCTGTAGTTTGCGAAGTAAAACGGGGGCTTGGATAATGGCAGGCCAGCTTGTTCACCGGTGTCTTTTCTCCACAGCACTGTGATTTCGATTTCTTGCTCCTTGTCTCCTTTCATCCACTTGTGTGAAGGAAGCGCAACTGTTGGGAGTTCACCATCCACAGTTTCCTATGATTAAAGGGTCACCTCCACCCTCTGCTCTGAAACGCTGCTCCTCATCTTTCTCGTTTTTATGACTTCTGTTTAGGTTGACTGACTTGTTCGTGTAGTCTCTTACTCACTGTCAGTCTCCAAGTCTGAATCCGACCACTGCACTGGGCTCAGTTTCCCATGTCGCTGAGCGTACTCGATAACTGCCGTGTAGCAAAAATAGTACTGGTCCCAGGTCTGGATGCTGAACGCCCTCTGTGTTCGCATCCTTCGAACTGTCTGACGAACATCTACTGTGCCGACGTCTGCCAGCTGGGAGAGGCAGATGTCCAGTGTGCAGAAGGTGCCTTCGAGTAGTAGGACAGAGCGAGACGGAAACATGACAAGTAAAAAATAATGTGGGTTAAAAAGAGGAGTCGAACAAAGCTGATTAAAAACCTGCATGTAATGTTAATATTGAGACTTGTAACAAAGTAAAAGCATATGAATAATTGTATGTTTAACTTCACAATATATACCTGTGCGTCCTATGCCAGCACTGCAGTGCACAATCACAGGCGGGCCCCCTGGAGGCCCCCTCCAGCTAGATCCCAGGTTGTGGACTGCAGCCTTTCTTGTTCGAAGGACGTGCTCACGGAAGTCTAACATGGCAGAAGCACTTTTAGGCACCCCGAAGTCTGGCCAGCTTACGTAGAGGTAGTGGTATACTTCCCGTTTTTCTCCAGACTAAAAAACAAACAAAAAAACATCAAATCATTTTAGAAAAAGACAGAAACTTTCTTGGAAAAGAGATGGAATATGCGAGTCTTTGGTCTTTTCTGAATGCGAACAGTGTCCTAAAAACCGACTGCATTACTACCAAAACCAGTTCCACAATTTTTGAAATTCTCACTGTTGTGATACACATTATCCAAACTGAAATGTATTCAATAAGTCTTGTTTACCTGTGTGTTGTACAGCTCAAGATGGGAGAGTTTAAAGTCCTGAAACACCTGGATATGTGTATTCCTAACCAAGAAGTATCCATGCTGTTCTGTGCTGCCCTCGTCAAGAGGCCAGTACTGACCACATTTGACACGTCCACGCTCTATAACCCTGGGAACATTGTTAAATCACTTTTTATTATTTAGCCCATCACATCTGAGTTTGAATATGAGCCATGAAAAAAAGCATCCATAAATCAGGCTGCAGATATCTAAATATCTCACCTGGTGGTCATGACAATGATAAGTACCATCTGTTCCCAAACCATTCGCCAGAAGTCAACAAACGTTTTTGGCAAAGGACCTGAAACACACAAATCTGTCATAAGAGGGGGACTGCAAAGACCTGAGGGGAGAAGGATGGCTTGAAGAGGAAAATATGGACCATAACAACATAAAACTAAAGTCTGCTGTGAAAGTTTTAAGTACTTTTTATATAGAGAAAATTATCATCTGAACACATTCATGCAATTTTATTAATTACAGAGTCAGCGAATCTTTAATTTACAAGACTCAGAAATCTAACAGAGATGATTGTATAACAGAATATTATCTAAACACCACAGATTAAACTATTAGTATTTAAAAATAAAAATTTCACATAAAAATTGTGTCAGGTTTTCCAGTAAACTTTGATCAACCTGTCTGCTAAAAATCACTGAAAACTACATTTGAGCATTTGAAGTTTTTTAGTCAAAAGCAGGTCAGAACAATCACTTGCCAGTTGAATTGCTTTCACTTCAATGCACTGAAAGCTAAGCTAATCAGTGAATATAAAGTACTTGTGGATCTTAAAAAGTATAATAAATATGATGAACCATTTTAAACTCTAGGCAAACAGTGTCTAACCCTGAGTGGCGATGTAAGCGTTGCTCCTCTTGTACCCATCCATGAAACTGGCATTAATGTAATCCGATGTCTGCAAAACAAACAAAAACAAAAATATCTGTAATGCCTGATGATCCAACCTAATGTCTTCAGTGAAGGCAGGGATGTAGTCAAGACCAGTTGTTCCGAGACCAAGACCAGACCCTTCAAGACTAAGATCAAGACCAAGGTCAAATGTTTAGAGTTCAACAAATATTTCAGGACATAGTTTTTTATTTTTGTACACCACAAAATAAAAAAAAAAATGCAACAATGGTTAATTAATCAACCAAAACTACTTCTTGCTATTAAACTCATAATTGTCATAATAAATTAATATTAGTTATTAAATGCAGCCATACACTGATACACATTCTCTAAACTCAATTCATCAGCTTACATTCCACAATTGTATGAATTTAAAGAGCGAGAGTAATAAACATTGCCTTATTTAAAAATAATAAAAACTTTAAAGTTTAAGCGTTTCAAAAAGTGTATGTTGAAAAGTAGCTTTTAAACAAAAGCTCTGACACTTTTTACATGATTATAAAACTTAATAGAATGCTTGCCAATATTACTGTAAGTAATTTTTGTGTAAAGTAACGGTTAGGGTTGTATTTTTTGTTAATATTATTTGTTTGGGCAGAATAACAGAATAGAGGAATTCTCAGTTACATCAAATGACAGATTTTTTAACAAGGTTTTAAGTTCTTGCCAGTACTCTGACAAAAAACACCACTGGCTGTTCCAGTGCAAGCTGTGTTTATGTGAAGAATTATAAAAATAATTATTTCTATATTACCTAACCTCTTGAGAACTTGCATCCTGATATTGAGGACATTTGTTTTGGACTGATTGTTTTTATTCACAGTGACTAGGTTTTAGGTTTCCTTGTTTTATTTTAAGTAAAATAAATTTTTATATTTTTAACTACCCCACCTCTTACAAAGTGACCTTTCGACATGGGCATCAGGGACCCCCATGACCCTGAAAAAAAGGAAGCAGTTAAAAGACAATGGATGGATTTTGAACTCTTAGTTTTTCATTTTGATACTCATAAGGTTTCTAATAATTCTAATAGCTGGGGGCAATTAAAATGAGCACAAAACAAAAGCTTCAGACTCAAGAGAATGAAACTGGTAGGACCACCTTTCTTTTAGGGGTTGGGGTGGGGGACATAGTCCTTTCTAGCAACCCCCAATTGTGGTGCTCCTTGTGATTGACAGCTATGTTCCACGGAGGAATGACAGTTTGAGCCGCAGCACCGCACTTCTCTCCGTTAGATGCAAGAGACAAATAAATTTAGTTTATGTGGCTTTCAGACGTTTCTGATTCGTGACAGCTGAGTTATTAATAAGCACCACAGAGCCTATTTTTTTCTTCTGTCACCCGGCCGGTCCACTCTGTGGCCACAGGAACAGATCAGCTGACTTGTATGTGGGAAAGAAGGTGTTTGGTCCACTGGGGAAATCCCCTGTAGACTACCCTTAGGCCTAAATGTAGCGGGGCAAGTTTTGAAGGCTGGTCGTTCAAGAAAGCTTCGAGCTCTGAGAGAGAAGCAAGGCAAGACCAGAGGCTCCAGCACAGCACGGACAGTTCAGATACAACCTGCGATGAAAAAATAAATAACAAGGCTGTTTTATAAACAGATTGTGTTTTAGACCGCCTATTGCTAACGGATCTATTCTGACACAAAGTGCAGCCATGACTGTTCTGAATGACAACTTTATAGCAGACAGCTACTCTCACCCTCTTCCTGGTTCTGCACACCGGTGCAGAATCTTTTCAGATTTTTTTTTCCTGAGATGGCAGGATGCAGCTGCACTCTTTTAATTCACATTCAGTTTATTTTTGTGTGTGTGCAGGTGAAAATTAAAGGGAGTTAAGTTTTTTTTTTTTTTTTTTTTTTTTACAAAAACTATTACAGTCTTGACCCAAATTGTCATAACCCTAGCAATCGAGACCGAGACCGAGGCATCACATTCTGAGACCAGAAAAAAAAAAAAACGTGTCGAGGCCAGTCTCGAGATCAAGACCAGTCTTGAGCCCTCCATCCTTGGTAAAGGGACAATAATTATAACTAAGATTAATACAGGGTCCACAAATAAAACTAAACATAAATCAAACACATTCATTATGTGCAAATATTTACAATTCCAGTGAATTCTTTATTCAATTTATGTAGCCGTCAATTGAAACATTCATTATCAGAAAATATTATTGAAATAAAATTAAAAATGTTTTATCAGAGATTGACAAAAAGAACAGAAATTAACTATTACCTCATCTTCATCATCACAGAGCTGACAGAGTCGCACTCGTGACTGGTCCAGGCAGAGAACATCACTGTACCGGTTCTTTATCTGATTACACAGCTTCCTGCAAAAATGGAGCTGAGTCTCAAATGAAGCTGCATGATGAGACGGTGTACATCTGCAACAACGTTCACCAGCAGAAAAACAAACACACTGCAGAGTGCACAGACTTACTTTGAATAGTCGAAGGTGCCTGCTGGAGGCTCCTTGCGGATGTCCTCATACTCCTGATAGATCCCCCTTTTCTTCTTCCTCTTCACATACTCCACCAGCTCACGCACCGTCGTGCCTCCTTGGCCTGGCATGTGAACGGACACCTCAGAGTAGCGGTTCTCATCGTCAGGACCACATGATGAGGACAAAGGCGGGGATTGCGAGGAAGGCTGGTTAGGTGGGCGAGGCAGAGATTTCTGAGGTAACGGAGGCACCCCTTCCTCCTCGTCTCCCTCCTTCGCCGGCTCGTTCTGGGGCCTGTTTGTTGCATCTCCACCTGCTGCATGTCCAACATCTTTATGTGAGAGGGACGTGTCGAGGGGAGTGTCCGACTGGAGAGGAACTTGGCAGCCGCGGCCATTTATGTTTATATTCGGACCACCGACACTGGTGTTGGCTGCACTTACCGCTGAACCGTTCCAGTGTTGGTGGTTCCCCTGCGACTTGTCTGCACCAGAATTTGAGCCTTGATACTGGTTTAGGCCTCGAGTCCTGCACTCCACTCCGTCAAAGTGGTTGTGTGGGTTAGCGTTGTTGTCTCCGTAGCAGTTAGAGTAAGCCACGGCTCGCTCTGTACCCAAATGTGCATTCACGTGTGTGTGGGGCAGCGTGGCACCTACGCTTGTGTTGCTGTTGTCTAGGCTGTAGGAGCGCAACAAGCTGCCCACACAGTCGTGGGCGTCGTGTTCTTGTGTGTCACCCTGAACGGTGTTGGTTTGCATGTTAACACAGGACTGGATCCAAGCTACGTGGCTGCACTGGGATGTCCCACCCAGATGTTCTGGAAGGGAGGCGACTGGGATGTGATTGGCCAACTCATGAGCTTTCACTGTGCATACCTGGTAAGTTGAAAAAGAGAGAAAAAAATAAGTCTAACTCAAGATGTTGATTTCTGATGGAAACTAAAGACACATACCCTTTCCCTCAGCTTTTCTCGCACAAAAAGGCGAAGAACTGCAAAAGGTGCTCGAAACCAGAGTGGAGAAGACACGATGAAGACACATTTTAGACGAGCTGGAAACGCTCCCTGAGAGAAACAAGGAAAACAAGAAGAGTCAGAAATTCTATAAAAGTTAAAAGGCAGCCACACAAGAGAAACAGCAGATGTTTTGTTTTTCCTCCCTGAATATTTACCTTGAGCAAATCGAGAATCTTGACACAGAGATCGTAGTCAAAATTACCATAAGTTGAGTTTGTCATGTCATAAATAAATATGAGTCCATCCTTTTGAGTTTGTATACTGGAAAGGAATAAAGAAGACTTTAAAATAAAAAAACACAAAGGGTCAAAAACAGTGAGACTTTACACTTCCTAAATGATTTGAGCTGATTCTGCAAGTTTTAATTTTTGCTGTTGAACTTTGGTTTATATTTATCTAAGTATTTCCTGTGTTTTGTAAGAGTTTGCCTAATTACTCCTAAAAGTTAAACAAAAGAATTTGCAGCAACTAAAAAAATGTCATAAAATTTATATTTATATTTTACACATTCGTGTTCTCTTGTCATAAGTACTTCAAGGAACATGAATAACATGTACAAATCTTCAAAACACTTTTTAGGAGCAATAAAAGTAGAAATGACAATATACAGACTATATAATGGAAACAAAACACATTGTTGAAAAATGGCACATCAACAGCAGCAAAACTTTTTAAAAAAGTAGATAATTAGATCTTCACCTCTCTATGGCTTTGTCCAGCTGATAGATGATGGCTTGTAGGACAGCCTTATGGGTGGTGCCATTCGGCCGATGGAGGCGGGCAGTGAAGAGTGCTAAAGCGGCACCCTTAGCATCTCGACCAGGCTGGTGGAAATGAGAACAGGTCATAAAACATAAACACATCGTCTCATCCTCAGTCCAAACAAGACTTCATGTATTCACCACTTTGGCAGCAAATCTTTTCATGCTCGTGCATCTCGTTCAAAGCTAAATATCACCTGCCATCAGTGTCGCCAGATATATGACATTTACAGTTTTCATAAGCTATCTAGGATCAAGCCCCACCTTTTTTTCTTGTGAACATGTTCCAATTCAATTATTTTAATAGACAGTACAATATTTTGTCATTTTCTATTTGTAACCTTGCCTGGCATGAAAACTACAGTGGATTCTGCACAGCAACACCCATGCTGATGTGTTTTCTCATGTTAATTTGCCACAAATTAACATCGAAAAATAAATAAATAAATAAATGTTCTAGAAATTGTTCATTTGTAAACAAAGACTAAACCATGTGCATGCAGAGACACAGCTACATAAACAGATGCTGTCTTCAATGACTTGCATGTTTTTTTGTTTGTGTTTTATAATCATGGAACAGCAAACTAGTGTTCCTCGGTATTGTACGTGTTCACACTTGTATTACGACTCACCAGAACTGTAAATTTGCCACTCAGCAGCTCAGAGCGGAGGGGCTCCTCGTCCGGGTTTAAATTGATGATGCCTTCTTTGATTCTTGTGTTCTAATGATGAGAATGTCAGAATGGAGAGGGAGACGTCAGCTCTTCTGACTAATTTAACTTTTACAACAATCGTTTACAGTCAAGCAGACTCACAGACATGCGTGCATCTTTAAACAACAGCTGATGAAAAAGTGTTAAATTACCAAAACTCATTTTGCACTGAATAATGGGAGGTTCAAGAAGGACTTTTAGGTTCTGAAATCAGGGATTTAAGCAGCTACTAGTTGTTTAGGACAAGCAAAATACAAAAACATCCTAATTACAATACTAAAAAATGATCTAATACAATGCATTCATTCTTAACAAGCTGATCAAATGTAACTAGCTTTTCTTTGTTTTAGAAAAGTATCTTCTAGAGTTGCCAGCATTTGGAGAACATGAACAAATCAGATATAATTTAAACTACATTTGATGTATTACTGGATGAATTTGTTGACCATTCTCCCCAAAGTTTTCTTTACTATTTATGACACTTTGTGTTTTATTATTGATTAAAAACAAGGTTAGTCTTGTATTACCAATCCAAACAAACCTTATAGGCCTGGAATAGATCGATGGCTCTGGAGACGTCAAACTTCCGGGCCATAAGAAACTTAACAGCTGTAGGTTGTGAGACAAGCACAGCGCTGTGAGGTAGCTCCCTGCTACGCACCTCATTCAGGAACTCCTCCACAGCCTGAACAAACACAGCACACAAGACAGCAGATGTAAGATGAGACAGTGGATGTTTGGAAAGAATAAAGGCAGTGCTATTTATTGGGAGAGGCAATACATTAAAGTTTCAATTCAGACAGAGGAGCAAAAGGTGAAGTTAAGATGTGAGGATGAACAATAACATGTAAAGGAAAATCCACAAATCTCACAAATCCACAAACCCCCTCATCTTTCCAGCTTTTTTTTATAATCAAAATAACATTGTGACAGACACTAGCCGAAAAATGCTGTGGATGAAATAAAACAACCGAGTAAGCAGTTAGCTCCTTTCCCCCAAAATCAGACACATTTGTCCTTTAAACTGAAAGCCAGAAAACCACAACAAATAAACTCATCAACTACATAAAAACCTGAATGCAATTCACTTTGTCTAATTAGATATCTGTTTGTCCATCTTCCACTCTTTTAGTAAATCCACAAATTTTCACATCAACAACACATAAACGCTCAGTTCCTAAAACATGGACCGACTTCAACTCTGAATCGCTGCCATCATCAGCATCAAAACAACTTAGCATTATTTTCATTGCAAAAAAATAAAAGCAAACATGTAATCTCATTCTGCAGCAACCTTTAGAGAGTGCACATTGAAATGCATGAGGTGGACTTGGAAATACACCTGCATGTGTCCCAGAAAGCAACCGGCCCTCTCTCTTCTTGTCAAATCACTTAAAGCTGTATGCTTCACTATCTGTTTGGTCCGACGTTAACATATAAAACTAATCTGCTGTCTGAAACACAAACTTCAAACACAAGGCAATCATAAAACATGGCACACGGCTGCAGTGGTGAACTGAAGCATGTCTGTCAACAGCTTCTTATAAGGCAAGCAGCAACTAATCAGTTTGTACAAAACAGGGAAATAAACCGTTCACTGTATTTGAGTCACATTTGTTTGTCAAAGTGGAGTTTCTAAATTTTGTAGTTATTTAAATTTTCACCTAGTATTGATACTGAGTTTGAAGTCTTAGTGTGACATCCCTGACTCAGACTCCAGAGTTTCATGTTTCGTGAAGTCTGTTTCTACATCACAACATAAAACAGAATAATCCTACATTTAGTTTGAATGTCTAAGCTAATTTTAAAAGTAAGGCGGCTATATCTTATTTCTGTAGCCATTCCCTAATTGAGACTGTGGTACTGATTTTAGAGTCAAGGAAATGTATTGTCTCTCAAAAAATAGAAATGAAACACAGTATTACAGACCTTGGCAAGTGAAATTTTAAGACCACAGTTCATTAAATAAACTTGTTTTCTTTTGTTGCATAAAAATAAATTTAGGGATTGAACTAAATCACACAAGAAAAAGAGAAATCTGGTAAATCTGATGCTGAGCACTGATTCAGACAATACAGCAACATGTCATTAGTTTCAGAAACAACCTTTTGAGTTGTGATTTATACTGATTTTACTGGATGTGAAAGACAGATATTAAAATCCAGCCAAGCTGGAGAGCAGTGGGGAGTGTGTGTTGTAAGGTATCGAGTAGATATCATGCCGATAAGACAAGCTGACCCAATCATAGCGGGTAATATCGGATTCTCGTGACTTTTGATTTGTTGAATCTGATCCACCCATTTTACTAGAAACCTATGACAACAACAATGCTAGGAACCGGGGGACCATTTCCACGAACTCTTGACAGGCAGTAGGAGATCCGACACAGATGCTCACCACTGGAGTTGGCTTATTTTCATGTCGTGAAAACGACCCACCCTCACAATTAAAACAACAAACTTGTTTAAAGTATCAAAAACCTACATTTTAACAATACACAATTAAATTCTGATAAGAAAGCGTAGTCGAGGAGATTTCAGGCAGGTCAATAATAGCTATTAGCAGCTAGGTTGCATGTGGTAGCTAAATCTCTGGTTAAAATAAACTAACAGTACTTGTTAAGAATAACTAAAAGCAACAAAGTTACACTCTTATAAAAGAATAAGCACACTGAAACCATATGTAAGCCACAAATAGACGAGGTTATCTATAGTGTGAACAAACTAAACACATTGCCGGCTAAATTATCCTCTTTGGGCTATCAGGCTAACACACATGCTAACTACTGTCAGTCACACCGGACTCAGTTCGATTAACGGGCCACGGGTTTTTACTACATCATATTATTTCCAAAACGAACGCGTGATTGAATATGTTAGAAAAATCATCAGAAAATACAAAACTGATGATGACATATGTTCACACTGAACATTACAGATAAGACGAGGGAGGAAAAAAGGTCTAGAAACCCTTACGAGCTGCTCCTGAGTTGTCAAGGCTTCCGCCATCTTGAAGCCGCCGCAACGTCGCAGCGGGCGCGCCCACTGTCCGCTCGTTCACGCCCAGAGGCGTGGCTGTATAGGAACCTTCGATGAGGGCAGGGTGTTTTCCATCGGACAATTTTAGGGGTGGACCTCCGGCGGCCTTTTTGATTTTAGGTTTGTTTGTATTACCCAAGAGGGGTTATTTACACATAGCAATTCAAAATAAATTGTGAGTAACTGACGCTTGTTTTTGCCTATTTCCAAAAACATAAAATATATTTTTTTTATTTCCGGGAAAAGAGTTACGTAATCACGCATGCCACGTTAAATTAACATTAAAACACTTTTGTCAAAAGTAGTCCAATTTAGGAGCATGACCTCGGGTCCTCTGAAAAAGAAAAGCTACTTGGGACAGCACCAAATCAAAAAGAAGACAAGGTACGGTTAGATTACAGTTCTACTTTGTTTCTTTTGATATTGTAGGATTTATACATATCTCTGTTGCTTGAAAACGTCTGATTACAGTTATGTATTTCTGAGCATAGCATCCTAGATGATGTGCCATATGAAAATGGGAAAGTGCTGCAGAAAACATGTTCTCTGTCCGACAAAACAAACAAAACACATGGCATCAACAAACATAGCCTCATGGTGAGTGTGAAGTTTTTATGCAATTTTTTTAGCATCAACTTTTAACAGTGTTTACTAAACAAATGTGTACTGTTGTTTTCTTTTAGGGTGGAAAACCTGTGTTACAGGAAGAATCTACTTTAGCTCTTGATGAAGAGATCCTGCAGGTTTTGGATGCTGTTGATATTTCAAAAGCTGTAATAGACAAGTCTTGTTTGGGGAACAGGCAAAATAAAGAAGAGCCAACATCATCAGCCGCTTCTGCGTTTCCACGACCCGGTACACTTACTGTACTCAGTAAAAAGGAGAGAGATTTGATGCAGATGAGAAATGGGGCATGTCTTCAGCACACAGACAGATTCCCGGGTCCTCAGTTTTTGGGGGATATAAAAAGACCAGGAGTGAGATCCGACTGCAAAGACCTTGCTCAGAAGCTTCTCTTCAGTGAGGACTCTGGGAATGTGAACCAAGACAACAACAGTTCAAAACCTTCCTGTGCCAGCATTCTGCCTCGTCAGGAAACACGAAACAGTCAGAAAGCAGGCAGCTCGAACCCGTAAGTCCTGACTGAATTATTACTGTCTTCTTTCAGATGTTTTTGCATCAACCTGCTCACTGTCTGTGTTCGTAATTAGGTTGATGGCCACAAGAAAAAACTCTCCTTCTAGCAACGACACACATAGGTTGAGCAAGAATGATGAGCCAGCCCTGGATGTATCCACAAACTATATCTTGTTCAGCCCCACCCGACTCGCTGCAGCTACGAAGAGGGCCAAGCTCCAGCAATCGCTACAGAATCAGTCGGCTTCTGTGCTCACAGTCCCCACCGGCTTGGAGCTCAGCACTCTCAGTGACACGCTTCCTCAGCCAGGTGAAGCCTTTTCAACCACGGCAGAAAACCCTTCATTTATTTAGGCTTTTTGTTTGCGTATCTGTCTTAGAAAACTTACATTCCATCAGATTAGGATAGTCATGAAGATGGGGGCAAATAATGCATATTAAACACAGTTGGGGGCAGTGGGCATAGTGAATGCTTAGTTTGGGATTTTTGATAATAGTTTGATTAAATACCATGTATAATGTTTGTATGTTGTGCTCCTCTGTAGGCGTTGCCCTATGTGCTCCTGTACAGCAGGCCGAAAAACTGCTGTTATCCAGCTGGGGTTTACCAAAGCCTGTTTTAGAGCGCTACCAGAAACATGGAGTCACTCAGATGTTTGAATGGCAGGCTCAGTGTCTCACTATGGGACGGGTGCTGCAGGGGGGGAACCTGGTGTACTCCGGTAAGGAACATTGTCCTACAAAGTTAATCACAAAAACATGTCTTTATGGTCTCTCTTTTTAAAAAAAAAAGTCTTTGTTTTTAACAAATTTAGCACCCACCAGTGCCGGCAAAACTCTGGTGTCAGAGCTGCTGATGCTGAAGCGCGTGTTGGTGACCAGAAGAAAAGCTCTCTTCATATTGCCATTTGTTTCTGTGGCCAAGGAGAAGATGCACTACCTTCAGGTGACAAAACGATGGACAGAATGCATGTTTTGCACACTTTATTGTTTATGTGCAGATATTAGATTTATATCTCTGTCTTTGCAGAGCGTTTTTGAAGAAGCTGGCATTCGTGTGGGGGGTTACATGGGCAGCACTTCAGCCGCTGGAGGTTTCACAACACTGGATGTGGCTGTTTGCACCATAGAAAAAGCCAATTCTTTAATCAACAGACTCATTGAAGAAGATAACATGGATCTTCTTGGTAATATGTTCGTTATAACTGTACACATGATTAAATACCAGCTAGTTTTAAAGATTTGCTTTGAAATCCTGTTTTTTTCTATTACTTTTTTGTTTATAGACTAACAGATTAAATAATAAATCAGTAGAATATGCTGTTTTTAAGCATGGTATTTTTGCTAGGAATGGTGGTGGTAGATGAGTTGCATATGGTTGGAGATTCTGGAAGAGGATACCTGCTGGAACTGCTCCTCACCAAAATTCGCTACATTGCACAGAAGCAGAGTAGCACAGGGTCTGAGTTGTTACTTTTGTTTTTGAAACCTTTGTAGTTTCTTTAAAACAATGCAAATTCTTTGCAAAATGTGTTAATTAGTTTTTCTACAGGTCTCTTTCAGAGGGTGTACAGATAATTGGTATGAGCGCCACTTTGCCAAATCTCTCACTCCTGGCTGGCTGGTTAGATGCAGAGCTTTATCAGACAGGCTACAGACCTGTACCCCTGCAGGAACATCTCAAAGTGGGCTGTAACATCTTTGATAAGAGCCTCTCTGTGGTGAGGCAGTTCACTCCTGCTCTCAATATCAAGGTAAATGGGATTGTTCATAATTCATAGTTTATAAAAGATACTTTATCCCCCCAAAAAGGCTAAATATTGTGAGGCACAGATTGCCTAAACTCCATGTTTGATCAAAAGCAACACAGAGACAACATACATTATGAAATGTTACTTGTCAATCTAATTGCTGTTTGAAATCAACTTTATAAAGGGTTGCCAGCAATAGGTTTGTCAAATGTTAAAACAGAGGGATGCTTCTGTGCATCACTGTTTCTTTTAATATCACTGTAGGCATTTGGCAGCTCAAAAGACCAGCTTATTTGGTTTTATATGCTAAATCAATTTCCAGCTTAAAATTTTTTGGCAGTCCTTCTCAGAAGTCTTGAAAATGCAGAGTCAGATTTTGGTTTGGCAGTCGATCAGTTTTCCACTTCAGTTCAGCTCATCTTACACTCCCCCAGGCTTATAGAAAACAAAATCAATGTATTTATTTATTTATTTATAATTTTTATGGTAGTTTTAACTTTCATTTGAATATTGCTGAGCTGATTTGTTTTTAAAAGCAGGTTCACCCGAGGATTTAACAAACACATATAACAGACAGGGTTTTATCCTTTCAGACTCATTTTGTTGGAAGCGTCATTTTTATATCTCAACATGATTTTTCAAACAAAAAGTTGATTTTGAATTGTTATTCAGAAGGGCATTCAGAAAAATGTGTTCAGTGAGGCAAAATATAAGGTCAGTATAAAGAAAAACAAAATAATAAATCACAGCATTCTGTTTTGTTTACATTTTATATTGCACAAAAACTATTTTGAAATAAGTGCAGTTTTTTCAGATATTTTTCTCGTTTGTATGAGTGCTTGTTTTTTCTGTTTAAAGGGTGATGATGAGCACATTGTGAGTTTGTGTTATGAGACGGTGACAGAAGGCCACTCTGTGCTCCTGTTCTGCCCCTCGAAGAACTGGTGTGAAAAACTGGCAGATATTATCGCTAGAGAGTTCTTCAATCTCAGACAAAGCGGTAGGAATGAGAAAAAGCATAAATGAAAAATAAAAACAATAAATAAATATATATTTATATATACATATATTATATTTAAATTAAAATATAGTTCAGAAGTGACTGAAAAGTGACTGAATTGAAACTAACTAGGTAAAACAATTGTATATGTGATGTTTCTGCATGTTTTGTTTGCTTTGAGTTGGTATCGTTTTAGAGTAGAAGGTATCAAAAAGCTCTGATTGTGTGGTTTTTGTTCCAGATCGTCGGGGTGAAGCTCAGCCACAGCCGGTGGATCTGGATCAGGAGGGCCTGGAGGATGTTAAGGCTCAGCTGCGGCGAACGCCAGCAGGTTTAGACCCCACCCTGCAGCGCACTGTACCGTGGGGAGTGGCCTTCCATCACGCTGGTGAACACATTCACTCAAACTCTAACAAACAACAAACCAGAATGCAACCTTTTTAAAAAATGATGATGAATATAAGATAAAGTTTCTCTCAACAGGTTTGACATTTGATGAGCGTGACGTGTTGGAGGGGGCATTCCGTCAGGGCTTGGTCCGAGTCCTGGCTGCCACATCTACCCTCTCTTCAGGGGTTAATCTTCCTGCCCGTCGGGTCATCATCCGAACCCCAACGTTCAGCGGACGCTTGCTGGATCCGCTCACATACAAACAGATGGCAGGACGAGCAGGAAGAAAAGGAGTGGACACTATAGGTATGAAGAGAAGAAAGAGAATAAACTTTTTTTTAACTTTGGGTGTATTTTTAGTGTCCTTTACTCTGTTCCTGTACTGTAGGTGAAAGTGTGCTGGTGTGTAAACAGGCAGAGCGTCAGAAAGGTATTAGTCTCCTTAACGGGGTTCTTCAGCCAATCAAGAGCTGCCTGGTGAGAAGGGAGGGTGACGGTGTGACCACCAGCATGCTGAGAGCCATCCTGGAGGTATGATTAACATCAAACGTAAATTCTCAACAATCAATCTGCATATTGCTGCTGATAGATTAAACTAGATGTCCTCACAGTATTGTCATTTTTGCAGCATTTTATGGTAAAAGTAGTTAGCTTTATCTGAAAGACTTAATTTTTTTTGTCTTTTTCTTCCTCCAGATAGTTGTTGGTGGTGTTGCCAGCACTCCACAGGATGTGAGCCAGTATGCTTCATGTTCACTTTTAGCTGCAAGCATAAAATGTGATGGCAAGAAAGAGTCTAATGAAGAGGCAAACAGAGGAGCTATTGAGGCCTGTGTTGAATGGCTGATGGAAAATGAATTCATTAGTATTCAGAAGGATGGACAAGGTGACTGCAGTGCTTTTTCTTATTACTTTTAACTTGACATATACAAATTTAACAGCGCTGCTGTACAACATGACAAGTAACAATTGACATTTAATATATTTTTATCTAATGCTTTCCCTGTAAGGTTAATCATTGCACATTCTCTGATGATTCTGCATTTCCAGATGAGCGGTACTGTCCAACACAACTTGGTGCCGCCACTCTTTCTTCCTCCCTCTCTCCTCCAGAAGCTCTGGGAATTTTTGCAGATCTCCAGCGGGCCATGAAGGGCTTTGTGCTTGAAAATGATTTGCACATTCTCTATCTGGTATTGTGACTCTTTTAAACTCCTTTTGTGCAATTAGCAAAAAAAATTTTTTTAAAGTAAAATCCTATGTTGTAAATTTCAGATCACCCCACTGTACGCAGAGTGGACCACCATAGACTGGTATCAGTTCTTTTGCTTGTGGGAGCAGCTGCCGTCGTCGATGAAGAGGGTGGCAGAGCTGGTCGGTGTCCAGGAGGGTTTCTTAGCTCGATCCGTCAGCGGCAAACTTGTTGCCAAGACAGAGAAGCAGCTCAGACAAATGGCTATTCATAAACGGTAAAGCCCACTTCATCATTTCACATAAAGTACCAACTTTATGTAGATCTTTTTACTAACAACTTCTCAAATTCACATTTGTTTTCTGTTTAGCTAAGAAGAAACAAAAATACTTTGCACATCTAGTACACAAAAGTGGTGCATCCAAGATAGATAATAAATCCAAACAAGCAAAAAAGTCACTCTTGCACACTATACAAACCTGCAGAAGACCTTCATTAACTTTGCCTTCTGTTCTGGTCAATTAAAAAACATTAAATGCATTGCACCAAAATCTTATATATAATATTTGTACCTATTTACCAATCTACCTAAGTTAAAAAGTTCAGTGCCATCTAACAGTATACTGTATTTAAATCAGTCTTGTGCTGAAGAATAAGTGTGCAGACTTCATTCATTCCATAGAAACTAACCTGGATAAATATCCTCTGAAGAACCACCTTTTAAATCTCTTTACAGGTTTTTCACGACTCTTGTCCTACAAGATCTGGTCAACGAGGTTCCTTTGGGAACTGTTGCATCAAAATACAACTGCAGCCGTGGGCAGCTCCAGTCTCTGCAGCAGTCGGCGTCTACATATGCAGGTACTGTTTGTGTCTGCATAGATTACACCGTTAAATATACTGATTTTAAAGTCTGCAAATGATTACAGTAAATAGGAGTAACTCAAGAATTGGGAAAGGTTTTGTTATACATTATAGATGCACTGTAGGCTCATTTTAAACACTGGTGTCTCCAGATTATCATAGTTTGGTTAGAGTCAGGAATACATCAAGTTGCTGTAGGATGGTTTATAATGACTTGGCGTCAGAAGCAGGTTGGATATTAAAATGCATCTGAGATGAGATGTAGTTTCTCTGGATCCATATGTTTATAAAAGTCTTACATTCAAATAAAGAAAAACAGTTCAATTTCACCGTCAGAAATCTACACCATTGGCCACTTTTAGACCACTATTAGACAACATTTTCATCCCCTCAGGTATGGTAACAGTGTTCTGTAAGCGTCTGGGTTGGCACAACATGGAGCTGCTGTTGTCTCAGTACCAGACCAGGCTGAGCTTTGGAGTCCAGAGGGAACTAGTCGATCTGGTCAGGATTTCTCTTCTGAACGCAACACGAGCCAGAGCGCTCTACGCCCAAAGTCTCTGTACTGTTGCTGAACTTGCCAGGGCCTCTGTAGCTGATGTGGAGAAAGCCTTGCGGAATGTGATCCCATTCAAGAGGTACGTGTGCACCAATTTTTGTTTATTCCAATAATATGTATTTCTGATGTGTATAAGTTTAGCTGCAACGGTCACACAGCATTAAAGCTACAACTTTCTAATTCCCAGTTAGGTTTTTGGAAAATAAATAAATACATTTGTATAGATTTTCAGTTGCTCAGTAGCTTCTAATAACATGGAGTTGGCCAGTAGCTTGGCCAAATTCTCAAAACAATCAAACTAATTTAAAAGTACAATAGTTACTGATGCACATTTAATCAAGTTTGTAATTTCTATTCTTCTCTCATTTAGTGTGAGCTTAAATAAACATATTGAAACCTTATTAATTAGACCATTAAGGAATAAAACAAGCAGCAAATTCGTTTTGAACATCTTTCAATTAGTCCACAATGAAACTGTGCAAAGACTGAGAATCTAGATTTAAAGTGACTAGTTTTGTTGGGATCATCAGCTCTAAGCGTGCTGTGGACGAGAGTGAGACGGAGGCAGCGGAGAGGCGAAACCTGCGCTGCGTGTGGGTCACAGGTGGACGGGCTCTGACAGAACAGGAAGCCGCTGTTGAGATCGTCTCAGAGGCAAGGCTCCTTCTTCAGGAAGACCTTGCTCAGTTGGGAATTAAGTGGGATCCAGCAGCGCTTCCACCAGGGTGTCCTTCTACTTGCATCCCTGACGATCAGCCCAGTGGAGACAGGGCTACAGAGCAGAAGAGCAGAGTCGCTGAGGTGCACAGAGAGGAGATTAGGAGAGACAATAACACTGAGAGGAGGATGGTTGATGGGAATGATGGGGAAGAAGAAGACACAAGAAATCAAGATATGTCTGAACCAAAAATCAGGCAAAAAGTCAGGGAAGTTCTGGTTGAAGGAGACAAAGAAAACACAGAAGAAATGGCAAATAAATCAACAATAAGCAACAAATCTTTTTTTAAAGAAAACAACAAAAAAGAACGGTTAAAGCAGGAAGGCGAGAAATGCAAAAAATTCAACCCAAAATTGGGAGAGATGACTAAAAGAAGTGTATCAACTACACCAGAGCATCCTAATTTGGATCACCCTGCTGTAGAAAGAAACTTAACCCAGGAGTTGGATGAGATCATTTCCAGCCCTCTGCCTCATATTCCTCCACATCCTCAGCCGTTACTTTCTCCAGCACCACCTCCACGTTTCAGAGCCCCAATATCTTGTCTAGAACAACAAAGTGTGTCCACAAGCACAGAAAAAGAAGAGTCCCTCACAAAGCTTACAGTATCCCCTCTGCTCCCGCGGAGACCGAAGCACTCCAGAGCATTAAGTAAAGTCCTTCAGTCCATGCAAACAAGCAAAACCCCGCAGGATGATGTAGAGCTTGCTGAAAGATCAGACAGGAAAACTACAGCACCTTCCCTTATGAAGGAAGACCCTCAAGCTGTCTCTACACCTACACTTGCAGATATGATAAACTCTCCCCTGTCCTTGTCTCCTGCTTTTCACCCCCCGTTCACTCCCGAGGCCAAGAGAAGAAGGACTGATGACAGAGTGGTGGATAAATTTTCATCCCCTGAGCTCTATGCAGGCAATAAGTCCGATGACGAAGCTGAGGAACAGGTGAACACGGATGGAGAAAGTTTTGGCAACAGCTTTGACCTGGACACTCAGACAGAAAGAATCATCGCTCAGCAGATCTGCAGAGATGAAAGTAAAGATCGGGTGGTAGAGATGCAGTTGGCGAGAGAAGACGAAATAGTAAAAGCAGATGTGAGAAGAAATGAACTAGAAGGCCTCAACATAGCGTCTCCAAGATTCAATACTTCTCTCACAGATAGCCAAATGGAGCTCATTCTTAACACCTGCCACAATGTAAGTGACTTTATCATCTTTAATAAAATAATCATGAATACAAATGTGACCCATCATATCAAAATGAGGATTAAGTCAAATTTGGACAAAATGACCTACCGGTAATTACATTTTCAGATTCCTGGCTTTAAAAGCTACATTTTGATACCCGGATCATTCTAATATCATAAGCTTTTCCGGAGATGTGACTTAATTTGTTTTGTTGGTTACGATAATACGTTACTGTTTGGTCTGGATCCTAATTTTATGTAAAGTTATTGAGTAATTTTTGATGTCAATATAAAGAGGAAACCTCAAATACAGTATTATTTGTATATTAAGATTTCCCAGTTGAAAAGAAACAAAAACATTGCTAGCTCACGGGGAAAAATTCAAAAATGTAGTGCGTTTTTCCTCAAAATAAAAAAAAAGGTTCAAAATAATTTTTTAGGATTATATTTCAAACAATTCATTCAAATCAAACATTATATTTTGACAAAATGCAATTTTTGCACATCAAAGCCCTATATCTGCCTATTTTTCCACATTCCACTTTTGGACTTGATCCTCGTTTCGATGTGATGGGTCACAAATATCACTGTCCTTTTTTAAAAATCTAAATCTGTTGTCACAGATGTCCTCTAATCCAGCTGGTGGTGGTAACGACCAAGATAAAGATGAAGATGCGTGTGATGATCTGGTCCCTGAGGCTAATCCAGCTGCTGCCGCGAGTCCCAACAGAAGCAGCAGCTTCCTGTTCGACAGCATGTACGACAGCCCTCTGCTGGTAGCTCTGAGGCCAAACCAGATGCCTGACCAGCCAGATCAGGAACAGTCTTCAAGCCAGGAGGTCGCCGTGGATTGTCCTCTTCCTTCAACCCACCAGAGACGTCGCAGCGAGCTTCTCGCCAACCAAGAAGCAGAAGAGCAGGAGGCAGCTCAATGGGGGGAGTCCTCCTTTAATCTGTCGGAGTGGGGGGACTCGCTCTTGGTGGGTGAACACTTCCTGGATAGACAGAGCTTTTTGAGACACACAAAGAGGACTGAGAGCGAACAAGAGCTCCAGCAACCAAACGAAGACCGTGATATTTGTGATGAACCACTGTTCATTTCACAGCTTGGACACATACAGCCACTGCTTCCTGCTACTATTCAAAATGAGTGTGACCAGGAGAAAGCTGATAATCATCAAGCACATACTAGAAAACCATTTAATAGTAAAGATGTTGAACCAAATGGGAGGCAGGAAATGATTCGTGAAAATGGTGTCGAGGAGGGAAAAAATGGAGAAAAAGTTAATAATGCTGTTTTTACACATCTACATGTCCAAAATGACTCTGAAAATGCTCTTTATTGCAGCCCTAGTTTACAGGAAATCTTTGACCGCTGGCCCAGTATGTCTGACCAGTCAGGTTCAGAAAACCTTCAGACACAAGCTGCTGCCTCAAATACACCAGGTGTTCCAGAGTTACCACAGCAAGAGGTGCAACTAGGAAGGAAAAGAAAGATGTCCCAGTCTGACGCTGACAAAAACATCTTCTACCACAAGGGTTCAAGACACGAGAGGGAGAACACACCAGAGAGACCAGACTCTGCTGGCGACCTCATTCCCCCAACTCAAGAAAGACCACCAGTCACCCCGAGAATAAAACTGACTACCTCTGTGCAGTCACCTGTCACCGCTCAGCCACGTCAACAGTCCACTCCCTCAAATCATTTTCAAGACAAACCAGCAGCCAAAAACCATCCCACACCTCAAACAGGAAACTACAATCACCTGTCAGACGCCGCGTGTGCTTCTGTCAGTAAACAGGAAGCAAATAGAGTGACAATAAAGGAAATGAAATCTGCTGTACGTTTGAGTTCTAACACCAGCCAGGACCTTTACTTTCCCACAGAGTCAGCATCTCCTTCTCCTCCTCCTCCCCACTACCCACAGCCAAAACCTCCTTCTGACACAGAGTCACCGGTGAGTGAGGGTTTTACTCTGCAGCTGTCCCAGGAAGCTTCATTCTGTTGCAGCGACTCTGGGATGTTCTCCATCATAGACGTGGCGAGCGATAGGCGCCTTTTTGATACGTTTGTTAGAGAGTGGAAAACAAAGGAGCGTTTTTCTATCGCTTTGGCCTGTGAGAAGAGCAAGCACAGGCAGCGAGGTAACTAAAACATTAAAACAAATGTCACATTATTATTATGTTTAAATGTTTGCCAAGTATTTACCTCATTATATGCCTAGTATTTGTGTGAAAAAGTCTTTTTTTTGTGTGTGCCGCACAGTTTAAAAATGTTAAATGTCTCTTTATCTATGTTTGCTTGCTTAGCATCAGCAGTATATCAGAAGCCTAACCCGACTGATGGTTTTCCACTAAGGGACAATGAAGATCTTGTTTTGATTGGACTGTCTGTCTGCTGGGGATCAAGAGATGCATACTACATCTGTCTGCAGCAGAAGCAAAGCAAAGGTCCTAAAAAACACACGGATACTAAAACACAGTTGCGCTATTTTAGAGTTTCCATTCTTAAATTTGTTTTGTCCTCATCAGGTCTGAGCTCAAGTCTGGCTCCTCCTCCACTGGATGATGAGTTGCCCGTAAGTAAAAGGTTGGAGCAGGTGAAGCTCCTCCTCAGCCAACAACCAGCCGGTCACAAAGGGAGAGTGATAGTCACATATGACGTCATCGAGGTGTACAAGACGCTAGTAATGAGTTGTGGCATCAGCCTGGAGGGAAGCTGTGAAGACCTGAAGGTGAGAAAATCAGATCAAATGTGCACTCTGTTCTTCTATTAGTACTTAGTTATTTTGAAAAGTAGAGGAAAATTATTTTCATTCTTTACATTTTCCGACATACTTACCAAGCAACTCTTAAAATAAAGTTTGTAGAGTCGTACAAAGAATTTATCCAATATTTCATATGTTTTAAAGAAAATAATCTACAACTCTAGTATTGATTTAAAGTCAGTGGATTTACTCAGGATTGACCACTTAGCGAACTGACCCAACAAGTTGTCTCTGAAAGCAAGTCTCCAACATTTTCAATTCTATAAGACATTAATTTCTTCACAATCACACTGAAACACAAAGTTTTAAACATTATTATTTTTCTGCCTTCAGGATATATTGGGTGTTTTTATTTTTCTACAAATTTTTAAAATGTTGGAAAAAAAGTGACAAATTCTTTCTACAGGTTGCGTGCTGGCTGCTGGACCCTAGCAGTGAGGAAAGGACGCTCACAAACATGGTGACGGTCTACTGTCCTGAAGAATTACCCCTGCTGGACGGTCTCGGTAGTGGACATTCACACTGTCCTCGTGTCAGGGCAGCGACCCAGAGCGTTCTCATCCACGCCGTGATGAACCATCTCACTGAACTGTTGGAGAAAGATGGCACACTGGGTATAAAATCACTCTCTTTTTAAGGGTTTGGTGCAAATGAGATGTTTATAGACTCTGTTTTGGCAGATTTATTCAGGAACAAAGAGATGCCCTCCCAGGTGTGTCTGGCCCTGCTGGAGTTGAATGGAGTAGGTTTCAGCGTGGACGAGTGTGAGAGGCAAAAACACGTGATGCAAGCCAAACTTTCAGCTCTGGAGATCGAAGCTTACAGCCTGGCAGGACACACCTTCTCCCTCACTAGTGTCGATGACATAGCACAGGTCCGACTCTTTCTGCGCCTCAGCTGTGATTTTTAACTCCAGTGTTTCATAACAACTCATTTTCTGCTCATGTACACTCCGTAGGTGCTGTTCTTGGAGCTCCATTTACCTCCAAATGGTGACATAGGTGGACCAAGAAGTAAGAAGACTCTGGGTTACACCAGGAGAGGTGGCGGCAGAGTTCGCCTGGGAAAGCAGTTCAGCACCACAAAGGTACAAATTTAATCTCAAAACAAAACCTAATTACTCGTTTTTTAAGGAAAAGTTTGTTTAGACAGTGTAATTATCACACATCACTATGAAATTATTTCCTTCAAAGAATGTCTTCTTTTAATTCTAATATGAAGCTTTATGATTCATAGTTCATTATTTAAAACTCTAAAATTAAAAAAATGCTGATCAATACACTTAATATATTTGGGATGATGAATCTAATTCTGTGTAATATTTTAAGGAGCATACAGAGACGTTTCAGCGTTTTTTCAGCAACAAATTCAAACTGTTAATGTCCCAGATCTGAGAGATTTATTTTCCACCTCAGGATGTTCTGGAGAAACTTCGTCCGCTGCACCCTCTGCCGGGTGTGATTCTGGAGTGGAGGCGGATCACTAACGCCTTGACTAAAGTGGTCTTCCCCCTACAGAGAGAGAAGAAACACCATCCTACACTGGAGATGGACAGAATATATCCAATCGCCCAGACCCACACAGCCACAGGTAAAACACACTGATACAGAAAGATGTTTTGTTTGAGGTAACTCTAAACATGAGAATTTACTTTTTTTTTGTAGGTAGAGTGAGCTTCACTGAACCAAACATACAGAATGTCCCCAAAGATTTTGAGATTTCCATGCCCACAGTGATAGTTGAGAGCCCACCTTCACAAAATGGCTTCCAGATGACTCGTAAATCAGGGTAAGTGCACATTATTTCAAATATATCTTCTCATGAAGCATTTGTGCCAGCTGGGCCCTCTATTTTGTGTAGAGGGAATAATGTAATAATGTCTCATCTAATAAGACCTTTCTGCATAGATTCTATTTTACAGATTTATTCAAATAAAAATGGCCACTTACATAAAATCAGTGTTTAGTTGTAACAGAAAGAAGAGATGCTCTGTGGCTCCAGCACTTACAGTCAGACCTGCAGAACAAGGCCCAGCCTTCTTCGTCAGCATGAGACATGCTTTCGTTCCCTTCTCAGGTTTGCATGAAGATATACTTCATTTTTAACTTTGATATTTACCCTCTGCTTGTTGCTTTATGTCTCCTGACATTCTCAGCGGTGTTTGTCTGTATTAAACCGTAGGTGGAATGATTATAGCAGCTGATTACTCCCAGCTGGAGCTGAGAGTGCTGGCTCACCTCTCAAAGGATCAGCGCCTCCTGCAGGTCAGTGTAGCAAGACATCATATATTTTATGACTGAAACGTTACCAACACCGTGTGTTTTATCAGGTGCTGAATGGAGGAGCAGACGTGTTTCGTTGCATCGCTGCAGAGTGGAAAAGTGTCGAGCCAGAGACTGTGCAGGACAGCCTCAGACAACAGGCAAAACAGGTCCTTCCAGGAAGGAAGATAACAAAAAGATTAGTGCATGGATTTTCTCCTGTAAGCTCACCTGGGTGTGCATGTGTTTGTGGACAGATCTGTTACGGTATTATATATGGAATGGGAGCAAAGTCCCTGGGGGAGCAGATGGGAGTAGAGGAGGACGACGCAGCTTGCTACATTGAGAGTTTTAAAGCCAGATACAAAGGTAATTACAATGATCGTCAGATTCAGCAAGTCTGCACTGCAGGTGTTATCTGGGGTCAGATTTATAAAGCTTGCGTATGCACAAAACGAGCCCAGAAACTTGCGTACGCCACTTTTCACGCAAAGGTTGTGATTTATAAAATCCAAACTTGATGTGAAAATGTGCGGTCCCTCAGCCAGCTCTGACCCATGTACGCTCATTTTAGAGATGGGAAACTGCAACACAGATGGTGAAGTGAGGAATTATAGCCACACTGTGTAATGATCACTGTCAGATATTTAATTTCACTTTATCTGACTTATTTAATTTTATTTATTGTTTTTATCATCCTGCAGGCTTTGAGAGAAAATTAATTTGAAGCTGAGTTTTTGAAAAAAAAAATCATTAAATTACTCTAAATATCTGTAAACCTGCAAAATGAGGGAAAATCTGCATCAGTTAGACATTCTGTTCACGTGAGCAGTTGTCAGCACCTGTCATCATCCAGATGCCCGACAGAGCGTGTCTGAGCCAATCGTTTCTGTTGAGATTGATCAGCTGACTGATTTAAATACATCTTAACATTCATGAGGTACTTTACATTGACTGTTTATGGTTGAGTGTGGGCGTGTAGAGGGCAGAACCTGAGGCGGGACCTTGTGCACAAACTCTGAGGTGCAGCTGTGATCTATAAAGGAAAGATGCGCAGAAAGATGCGTATGCATGGTTTTATAAATCTGACATTTTTTTTGGTGTACGCCATTTTCGCCTTTTGGGCGTACGATCATTTTTAGTATGGTTTCCACGCAATCCTTAATAAATCTGACCCCTGATCCATCTGTCCTCATCATGTGCTCCGCCTCTCTTTTTTTCCCCAGGGATTAACACTTTCCTCAAACAAACGGTGAAGAACTGCATAAAGGACGGCTATGTTCAGACCCTGATGGGCCGCAAGAGGTATCTAGCTGGAATCACCAGCACCAACGTGCACATCAAAGCTCACGTAAGATTTCGTCTTCACTGTTTCCTCACAAATTTACTCTTGAAATCCATTTTTAATCCTCCCCGTCTCTTGTCCTCCACGGCACGATCAGGCAGAGCGGCAGGCAGTGAACACAACTGTTCAGGGTTCTGCAGCAGACATTGTTAAACTTGCTACTGTGAACATCCAGAAACGGCTGCGGCAGACATATCCTGCAGCGCCGCTGTCTCACCAGCACACAGGTGACCTCATCACCGTTCTCCTTTTTCCACACCAACACACGTATACACGTCTATTCAAATTACACTTGTTGTTACAGCAGACCGTAACGCGTGCAGAGCTGGGTCATCTCAGCTGAGGGGAGCCTATTTCATCCTGCAGCTGCATGATGAGCTCATATATGAAACCACAGAACAGGACCTCATACAGGTTGGAAAAGTATTGTTTGGCTTGTTATTTAAGTGTGTTTTTAAACATAACAAATGGGGTAAAGTTTTTTTTTTTTCTGTCAGGTTGCACAGATAGTTAAGAGGGAGATGGAGTCAGCGGTGAAACTCTATGTGAAGCTAAAAGCCAAAGTCAAAGTGGGACCCAGCTGGGGGAACCTGCAGGACCTCGATTTATGAAGTAAACTTGTAAAGAAACATTTTTTTGTGATTTATGCATATTACTTGCACTAGTTTTTAAATCACTACATTGATAAATGAAATGTAAGAAAATCCTGTCATTTTTTTTAAACATAAAATCTACATCAACTTTTTAATGAACTACCTGTACATACATAGACCTATTTATCAGTGTAAAGCTTTATGGAGTTTATTTTCTAAAACAATACTATGTCCTGAAAACATCAGATGTAATCTAATAAACTAAAAAGACTATTTGAGAAGTTTTGATTATTTTTCTTTAAACAAAGACTCCAGAGCTTGAACTCTGAATACATCCTGAATTCTCACATTTTATTGGACCATTGGTTGAGCTGGCTGTCACAATAACGTACATCATCAACTCTCATCAACACTGTTTAGTTTTACACAGATGAAAGTCATTGCACAAGAGTTAACATGGGAGACATTCTGTTTGAAGAAAATATTCACCGTGAATATGAGCAAAGAAATGGATGAATGATGAATTATTTCAGGCCAGTAGATCAATCAAAGCAGATTATTTTACCTTTCAATTCATGTTGAACTTAAACTTTGGTGCTGACTCAATTTAGAACTTCACGGGCATCACTTCAAATATAAACCAGTAGACTATTTCAAGGACCCATTTCACAACCTTCAAGTGGAGCTAATTATTGAACTTGCCAGGATAAAAACGTGACATGGGTTCATTACTAAGAATTAACAAGTGCACCATCATTTAACATCAACACAGGCTCAGTTTGACACACATAAAAAGGAGAAATAAATACGTCACCAACATACATCCATTAAAAAAATGACAAACCATGAACTGTGAAGATATAAAGGACAAAATTTAAAACAGGAGTGTGACTTTTTTATGTTGGATACAGATGTTAGAGGCTTTCCTGTCCTTGAAACATCTGCACAAATGACACCAGGATTTCATTTAACAAATGGTTTGCCAACATGTATTAATGTCAGTGCCGTGGATACCCAAATAAATAAAAAAGGCAGGAAAAGCAGCTGCGTTTGGGTGGGTTTTTACCCATGCTAACCCCTTAGATGCATCATTTTGAGTGTGTTGCTGCTTTTCTGAGGCGACAGACGTGCGCCTGCTCATGACGAAGCACATTAAAGGTGCCGTTGTACTCTTCGATGTTTTGCTGATGATAAAAACATGTTCCAATGAGGCAAAGTAATGAAAGACGTTACCTGCAGACACGCTGATAATTAGTATCTTTGGTCATTTTGCCACTAAACCTTTCAACAGCTTGATCGGTTTCTATAAGAAGAGATAAAACAAATTCTGAGGATGAAGATGTGATGATTACTATCTGCAAATATGTCCTGTCCCAACAACCTTATAGCTTTTGAACCAAGCACATTTTAAAACGAAAATGAGAAATGGGCTGTGCCTTTTACATAACCACTTTTTTTTTAAAGTAGGCTCAATGCCACAAAATAAACAACAACAAAAAAGAAAGTATCTGTTAAGGCATTAACACAGACGAGGCTGTGCATTTCAGAGTAAAAATAAAAAACCGAACAAACAAAATTTCTGTACAGAGGTACAATAAAAAGTGCTACTCAAGCATCTGGATGTTTCACTGGCTAGATGTGAGGCAAGAAAACACTGGGACCAGGTTTGCCATTCTTGCTCCATGAAATACTAACTGGGGGGGTGGGGGGCGCTGAGTCTAGGAGCTTTACCGTCATCTGATGACATCCTGCGGGAAAACTCCTAGTCCTGCCTGGCCTACACTCTTGGGGTTGAACAGTTTGCATGAAAGAAGAGAAATAAGGACACAGTAGGTTTGAAGAGGACATCTCCGAAGCTGTCAGGGCGCCTTCCCGTCTGAGCTGAAGTAGTACCTGACAGGAGGACCGGGAAGGTCCACGTCTCCGTCAGATTCTGGAGCGAATGATACGGTAAGATCGACGTAGCGGCGGCCTGCTGATGGCCTGATCAGCTTCTGCATCCTGTGGGAGGCAGAGGTTCAAGAGGGAGATCATTTTAGTGTAAGAAACTGATCCAAAGGGGCTAAAATGAGTTAAGTGCTCACGTGAGTTTGAGTCTCTTCGAGTGTCCAGGCATCACAGGCACATACAGCATCTTCACTCCATGAACAACCATACTAGGTTCAATCCCATACTTTTCCTACAAGAATGCAACAACGTTTTTTCGTTTTTATTTTACAATGAATTACAACAAAAGCACCTAGCACACTACAACAGTGTAGCTGCATTACGGAGCCAGAACATTACAAATGAATGTCTCACCCGGACTGCGTTCATGAAGTCCGACAGAGTGAAGTCCTCGTGGCCGAAGATGGTCCAGCAGTCCCAGATGGTGAAATAGATGTTGTTCCTGGAAAGTACATCACTTTGGCTTATCTTACAAAGAAATGTTCACTTTGCTGCTGAGAGATTCAATAAGTCATGTTACATTTCTGTTATTAACTGTAAAAACCCTCCTACCTGATGAGAGTCTGTTTAACCTCAGCGGGCTCTGTGAACACGACGACTGGAATGGCCAAGTTAAAGAAGCAGTTTTTGAAAGACTCCAACCTGTAGCCTCCGACCACTTTGATCAACTCCAGAGCCACCTTGTTAAAAAATGAAGACGCTGTGAGCAATGACATGCAGTTTGGTTTCAGTACATCAGTCGAAAATGAAAGGATTAATGGACAAATGGCTGCTCTCACAAGTCCTGCCACAGCAGCTGTTGCTGTGGCGATAGCAGGGATGATCTTCCCGGCGATGCGTTTGGTCTTCAGTCTGTCAGCGGGCTCGATCGAGTACATCTTGGCTCGGAGGGAGGACGCCGATGTGACGAAATCGATGTGGCCGTTGCTGTCGTCGTCTTTTTCGAACTGGAGGGGACTCATGTGCAGCCCTTCTGCAGAGTGACAGGACGTGTGTTAGTGCTGAGTACTGTTCATGTTACACCAAATACAGTGAAATCCAGTGGCAGATGTGATTTCTTATACCTGGTTTGGCTTTGTTTGTGGCGATGGCCTGCTCCAGCTGTGCGATGGCCTCCCTCTCCTCTTCGCTGCTTAGAGGCATCTTTATCTGATCGGGCTTCTTCGCAGCCTCATCGGTCTCTATGCTCTATAGCACATCAACACCAGTCAGTCTACTTCCTCCAACAAGGACACTAAAGTCAAAGACTCAATCAGCTGAGGAGCTTTAGGGCCGAACGATTAATTGCATTCGCAATAATCTCCCTATATGTTAAAACGAGTTTTCCTAACCACGAAGGCTGCGATTTGACTGGTCACATGACTTGGGAGTGAGCCGAGCGGAGCAGTGTTGCTTACTTAGCTACATTGTCACTAGACCTAGCGGCTTTTCAGACCCCGCTAGCTCCTCTTTTTTTTTTTCCCAAAAAGCGACTAGCGACAAATCTGTCGACTTTGCCTGTTGTTTTTGGACTTTTAGAAGCTTTGGTGCCAGCACTTTTCTCCTTTTCTTCCCCGCGAGTGGTGCAGTGAGCCCCTCCCCCTTCCTAAAGCGGTCCGACTGAAGCCTCGTGTAGCAGCAACACACACACACACACACGGCTGCAATCAGCTGACAGGAGATCGCTGCAAATGAATCTTGCATGCACAAAGTTGCCACTGCTCTTGCCTTGTTTCTAAAGTGAGATATAATATTTACTGTGATGTTTTTTCTCTGGTACTGTCTCTGTAAAATAAATCTCTGGACCCAGCTGTGTTTGACTCACAGATCAGTCACTTCTTCACCTCATCCTCCCTGTGTCTCGTGATATCTAAAAGTCTGCGGATTAAATTTAAGATTATCATTAATTTATATAATGTGGATCTAAGCATTGTAGTCATAAAATAATTTTTATTTCATTAAGTTTATTTGCAGTTTTAAACATATTTAGTGTTTTTTTTTTCTCTTTTAACATCTCTCCTATAGCTCAGATCACAATTATTGGCAAACATGTCATGTATTGCATTGGTCATGATGTAATCTAGTGACTTGAGTTAGAGTTTTCTGTGGTTATATTCTTCATGTTTTTTGCACTTTATTTTTTCATGATTTTACTGGCAGTAAAACTGAGCTTTATTCTTTTTATATTTATATATTTTTTTCTATTTATTTATAGACTGTCCTGTCCTTCAGACAGTGTTTAGGAAGTTCACTTAACATGCCTAATATCATGTTTTATGAAACAAGAACAATTAGAAATGGTGAAAAGGTAAAGCCACAGGTTTGTTTGCTTTATTGTAATCTGTGCTTTCAGTAAATCTTAATTTGTTTATTATAAAACAGATTGATTTATTGCTTCTGTTTGTTGAAAAATACTTCAGAAGACATAAAAAAATAAATAATCGCATATTAAATCGCAATTTATAGATAAAAAAATCGCAATTAGATTATTTTCCAAAATCGTTCAGCCCTAAGGAGCTTACCTTCTCTGCGGGTCTGTAATCAGGAATCTTGAGACCGGAGAGAACCTTGGACACCACCGCTTCAGAAAGATCCTGATGAACACAATAAGTCCAGTTGGGTAGTAATTTAGTGTGCGTGTGATGTGATGATGTTGAACACATATATGAGACTTACTTCTTCTGAGTAAGTGACATTATGAATCTCAGCAAAGAGCCTCGCAGTGCTGATAATGAAGCTGAAGTGTCTGATGGAAACAAAGGAAGGTTTAGTATGTTTCACTAGAGGAAACTTGAAAGAGTAAGACACAAACTGTAACAACTCACAAGGGGTCTTTCAAGTCAAACTCCATAGGTGTTGGGGGTCTTTTCGGGGACTGCCAAAACAAACCTTAGAAAAGACAAAGGTTAATCAGAAACTATTCTGTATGCATCGATTCTCATTTAAGCATTTAAAAAACTTTATAAAATACAAAAAAAAAAACATACTTCCATCTTTTAACCTTGTTTCAAGTGGGAAAGAGTGCAACAACTGCAGGGCCTACATGAAGAACAGCAGATTTAAACCTTTTATAAACCATCTCATCTCTATGCTTTTCACTTCTATGTCTTTTCAGTCAGAGCTTTACCTTTCTTTTAAAATACTTTTCAAATTTCAGACGGGCGATGGTGATGCAATGTTCCCACTGTATGGGTCGTCTGCTTAGGAGCTTAATAACCTGGAATGAGCCCTCCAGACTTTCCCCCGCCTGCATCCTCTGCACACAAGACAGCAGAGTTAAGACATGCTGGATGAGAAAGAAGAACGTCTATGTCACAGAAAAGCCCACCTGTAGCACTACTTCAGGTGAGGGGTGCGTCTGCCAGAAAGAGTTGTACATGGAGGGCTTGTGAGCAAAGGCATTCTCAAACTAATCAGGAAAAAAGAGAAAGATTAGAGCAGTATCTAAATTTTGTGCATTATTTAAATTAAAAAAGAACACTGGTAGGTGTTTGAGTGGCGATACCTTGTCTCTGGCCCACTGGATGGTGTGCTCTATAACAGAAGGGAAAGACTTGAGAGTGCAAAATGGGATCTCCTCTTCTGGGGGGTCCCTCTGGGAGGCAGAACAACAGATATTTTAGGACAACAATTTGAAACAGTTCTGTTTTTTTACACGTGCCAGACAAAATAAAACTATAATCTTAAGACATAAACTCACATGGCTGTTGTAAGACTCGGTTAAGTTTGGCACAATGATCTCAGTGTGTCCTTTAGTTCCCATGGTGCCTGAGTCCAGGAGAGGTCTCTGATTGGACACACAGCGGCTGCAAACAACACAAACACTTTGAAACTGCACCGTATTACAGTAAGACCCCAACTTAAAACTCATCACGAGTAAGATATGGACCCCGGGGCCACCAGCTGATAACTATCACTCTTTATTCTCAAAGACATATTTAACTTTAAGGGACAGGTAGCTTGGTGCATCCCAAATGTTTCCACATTTACATTTTAATGTATTTTATAATCAATATTGCCTTTAGAATAAAAAGACCTGTGGTACAGCCTAAGCATTGTTCCCCTTACTTTACTTTTACTTTTATACTTTAGGTTTAAAACCAAAAAATCTTAAGTTGATGCTTCTACTTCCAAAAGTCTTATTAAACCCTATAATGTCCACCTAACCAAGTTTTAAAATCTTATATCCAGCCAAAAAGTCTTTTTGATCTTGATTTGAGACTGATTTACTAAACAAGAACTGACTGTGTAAGAATAATAATCTTGTTTTCAGAATGTGTAAGATTATTTGTCTTGTTAGCCTGAAAATTTGACTCAAATTAGGTCAAAATTTTCTGCCAATGAAGTAAGAAAATTTTACTTTGTAAGATTCTTGAAATACTTGACTTGACTAATTTTTTTCTTATTTCAAGAATCTTACCAAGTAAAATTTTCTTACTCCATTGGCAGAAAATTTAGACTTAATTTGAGTCAAATTTTCAGACTAACAAGACAAATAATCTTACACATTCTGAAAACAAGATTATTATTCTTACACAATCAGTTCTTGTTTAGTAAATCAGTCTCAAAACAAAATCAAAAATACTTTTTGGCTGGATATAAGATTTTAAAGCTTGGTAAGATGAACAGTTTTTGCAGTGTAATGTCTATATCTCTACTTCAGTAATGTATGTGAATACTTTTGACACCTCTGCATCCACCTCGTCTCCTCACACACCTGTCCACATATCTCCGTGCCTCCACATTGTCCAGCGCAGTGACCACCACGTTCAGCGAGGAGTAGAAGGAGTCATTGTAGATGTTCTCAGAAGCTGGACACACTTTGTTTAAATGAGCTTCAACCCGCAGCTCCGGGTTGATATCAAGGGTGGCTTCTGCAGCCGTCGTACTTTTTGGCTTCTGAAACAGAAATTAAATAAATAAAAAAGGGAAACTCATTGCAGTTCATACGACAGGTTGAAACGGCAATGTCTACTCACCTGTATGTGTTGGGGTCTGAAGAGAAACTGCCTGTTGAGGTTTGACTTTTCAATGAGGTCTGGATCGGTGATGCACACCTGAGAAGTGACGCGTAAATTTGACTATTTGTATCACCAAGAGATGTAAAATGTGACAAAATGCAGATAAAAAACACAAGAAAGTGAGGCAGAAGTGTTCACCTCTCCTGAGTTCTTGGACAATCCCACACCGAGGAGGGCAAAGTTTTTTAGCATCTCACAACCTATGGCACCACAGCCAACCTTTAAAAAAAACAGTGATGTTTATTTAGACGCAAACAGATACTGTTAATATGCTGATAAAGTTCACTTCCTACCATAAAGACCCTGAGCTTGTGTAGATCAAGACACATTGATTCACCAATGCAGGCTCGCAACCCATCATACCGATCACCTCTTGGGAAAAACTCTTCGACAGCCAGAGACTGAAGAGGCCTGACGAGCTCAACAGTGTCAAGATAAAACTAAACACGTGAGAAAAACGAGGGGGAAAAAAATCATCAACTGAAATAAAAATAAAAACATTGTGCTTTCATTTCACTTCCATAATAATATCCTACCCATTGCTGCAGAGGTGCAAACTTCCCTGTGATGGCTTTAAGAACTTCCTGACTGGCTATTCCTCCTACAGCTGCAGCCAAAGGAGGCAGAGTTCCCCTGGCCGTCCTGGACAAGCAACGCACCAGCTCAGCATCCACAGGAGCCTTTAAGGGAGGAAGAAGAGGAAAGGATGGCGATGTAATGTCAGATTTTGAGTAACTATATAGAACATAAAACGTGAAAACAAACACTCACTTTGTTCTTAAAAGTCGTGTTCACTTCCTCAGTCAGTTTTAGTAAAGTCTCTGCATCCTGTAAACACCTGAAAAAATAGCAAAACTATCATCAGCCTTTATCATCACATCACATTTGATCTGCTTCAAACAGCATAAACTTTAACTAGCTCGTACTGGATTATAAAAACATAAAGACCGAAAAAGAAGAAGAAAGAGAGGTGAATTCTGTTTACCCAATGTTGGGAAGCCTGCAGTGCTGCTCCTGGAACCTGTCCAGAGCCAACATAGCAGCATGGATCTGCAGCGGGGCCTGATGGGTAGATTTAAAACAAGAGAGTGAGGAAACTCAAACAAACAAATGACTTTTGGCATTTATGAACAAAGGCATGTACCATGCAGCAAACCCAAAATATCTGCAAACCCAATTACTGCTCCTTATAGACATGTATAGGAAGTGGTTTTGAGTATAAACTGAATATTTGGGGCAGATACAGTATTATACAATTTTGTCTTCTTCTGCTACCTTTCCTTTATTTATGATTTGTATTTAATTATATATTGAATTTATGTTTTTTTTAAAGAAATGAATAAAGTTTGATGTACTATTTGAATAGTTGACTGAATTAGGCAAAAAAAAATATATGTGGTTAAATGACCGATCAGCTTTTCATTTTATTTTCACCTCTGGTTTGCTGAAGTCTGGAATCAGGACCTGAGGATCACACAGCTGTTCTTCTAATGTCTCCTAAAACACACATGAAAAAGACAAAAATATTTACGGTAGTGGACTACAATAAAACAGCTGTTTTTTTGTCCAAATGTGACATTTAATGAGACAAATTTGCTTCCTTACAAAAGTGAATGTCTTAGGGGTTTTAACCAGAACAACAAAACCTCCATGTGTGTAAGGTTGGAGCTGCGACGTGGCTCCGATTTCAAAGCTGTGAGGGGACAGCACTAACACACACAAAGACACAAAATTAAACAGAAATGTTGTGCAGGATTATAGACACTCTTGTAAAAAACATCAGACTTGTTACTTTTAAACTAGTGGTATTATAGAAATTATTTTTATTTAAGTTTTGTTAAGCTTTAATCAATCAAAGCTGTTTGACGTGGTGCAGACACATTACCCGTGACTGGCCGTGTAGAACCATTAAGCTCCTCCATACCCCCGACCTCTCTGAAGAGAACACTCTGTCCGGTTTGTAAGCCATGGGGATGGTTGTCCATGCAGGTCACTATCCCAGGATTGTCCTGATAAAACAATAAAAAGGAGATATGGACGGTTCTGCCATGGGGAAAAGGAAGGTTGGACACCCCTACTATTAAAATGGCAACATATCTAATATGTATATTTATTCAAGATCAAATTCTCTAATCATTTGTAATTTAGAGCTTTTCAATGACAGTAAATGACTTTTAAATGTTTTAGGTAATTATCTAATTCATAAAAAATATTCAATTTCAGCTGTGTTTTGTTAGATTACTATAAAGTTAATTTCTTTTTTTTTAAATTGTGTTAAGAGCTGAATTGGGTCCATGAAGTAAAAATAATAGTTTTTATTGCCCCATCCTGGACTTATCGTACTTCACGTAGGAAAAATCTCAACCCCACCTTCCCTAGATTGTCATTGTGCGTGTGTGCGTGTGTGTGTGTGTGTGTGTGTGTGTGGGGGTGTGTGTGTGTGTGTGTGTGTGTGTGTGTGTGTGTGTGGGTGATAGGGTTTGGAAATCTTCCAAACAGTGCCTTTTTGCTTTTAAAGAAAGCTCCACTTGTGTAAATGTGCTCTTTGTCCCTTGGCCTATTGTTTGAATAGCATTGTGGGAAGTTTTTGTGGGAAGCTCACAGGGGCTTGGGGGCCTAGGGGGCCACATAGGGGCCGAATGGGGTAGGATTGGGGNGGGTTAGGATTAAACAAAACTGTGCAAAGTCCCTGTTGTTAATCTCTCAACACATAAAAATACAGCTCCGTATGAAGCAGCTCATAAAGTACTTGAGCATTTATAATTAATAAATTGATAACTGATAATCAGCTAAATTGTACAGTACCACTACAAAAAGGATGTGTGGTTTCCAGAAAATAAATTGAACTATTAAATATTTTTTTTCTCAAGGAAAAGCATTACCTGAGTAATACTTTGGATGAAAATCTCCTTGGGCTCCTCTCCTGTGGGATCAGACACCTCAAATGCTGCTCCAAAATCACAAAACACTCGCACACAGATGCCGTACGCGTCACAGCTGATAAACTGGTGGAAATAGATACAGTTTGATTGATACACAGAAGAATTCATTATTCCCTATTCATGTGTTGCAAGACATGATTTAGCTGCTTTGCTGTTATATATAAACACACTCAGGACTGTAGACTTACTCTGATGGGGGGCTGCTGTGTGTGGCAGAACTTATCTACCTTCTTCTGTAAACTCAAACTGGCCTCTGTCAAAATCACGCACTGCAGCAGAGAGCACAACTATCATACACTAAACATTAACCATGGTCTATAGCAGACAGAACAAAAGTGATTTTAACTATTTTCTTCTAAAACAAACAGGAACAACAATCTTCAGTTTTATTGCAGATCAGCTGCATCACATCAATACAAACGTTCAGCTCCCACTAACCAGCAGGAGTGCTTGACGTCATTTATATCTTATCAAAATTTCAATGAGTTTCTCTATAGACAACAGACCGAAACGCATCGACTTACCTGATACTTTCTGAGAAAACTCAGATCCGTGTTGTCATCCAGAGGTAAAGAAGATGTGTCAACTTGGACGTAAGGGTTCAATTCTGCAACCCGAGGGCACACTGCCTCCACCCTGAGAGAGCAACATGAGAGGCTAGGTAAACAAGCGTTCCAGGACAGGAAGAGCAAACCTGTGTATACGTACAGCAAGTGGACCAATTTATGTTTCGAACGCGGCAACATAATTTCAAAATAACAACCCTTACTGCTCCAGAAACTTCTGGAGTCAACACTTCAGGCTCAGTAAAGTTGTTTCTGGGTTTGACTAGTACATCGACACCCTTTTTGGTGTTCACAGAATCATCACCAGTCCATCCGTGCTGAATGCATTACCTCCTCCTCTGGCTCGATACGTCCTCTTTTCGAATAAAAAAGTTGGAGCCGAGATCCCAGGCTTCACACGTCTTTGTGTCATGAAGGGTAACAGTCTGTACAGAAAACAGACACACAAAGATACAGCTCATGCATACAAAAAGTTAATCTCAAGGATGCTGGATGTTAGACTGTGATGTGTGCCTACCTTGACACCTGCCAGGGCTATATTCTTTGCTAGAAAAAAAACAAAAGACAAATTGTGTTCATGCTAAATCACAGCTGTTTGTTAGTTGATTAGTGAGCTATAGCAGTGTTGTGAGGCTAAAATGTGATGACTTGCCCACCTATCTCTACTCCCAGTGCTCCCATTCCACTGAGAAAGACTGAGGACTGGGCCATCTGGTACATGGCACTGTCTCCAAGCACATATCGCTGGCGGCTGGAGGGAGGAGAAGATTGGAGGAGGAAAGAAATAATATGTTAGAAAAAAAATATGAAGTAAATGCACTTGACTGAGAAGGTACACTTGCCTGTACAGAGAGTCGTCAATCTCCATCAAATCTGAAGCCATGCTGGGAAGGGAAGGGGGATTCAGCAGTTTCACGGTTAGCAACTCCACCTAAACATTAAACATACAAATTGACGCCGCAAGATCTACGAAATGTTTAAATTTACCGTAATGATTTTGAACCAACGCCCTGCTCTAAGTTAGCTACGCGGCTAATTGTCACTGCCAGGTTATAGTTAGCCATGTTGTTGACAACAACCTCTTACCGTCAAGCATTACAAATGTTACAACTTCAGTGTCTTATTAACGCGATACAATTTTTAAGCTGCTCTGAAGAGCTCAGCGTTAGCAGCTCCAGCTAACTAGCAGCGAGAGTCACTCCTGCCGGCAGGGGTGCTTTTTTTCGGCTCAACACCGGTAGCAAGGACTTCTACCAAACTCGTTGACACCTTTTTTAGGTTACATATTACTATCCAAGCTATTCATTTGTTTTAGCCAATGTAAACTCAATAAAACAACAATTAAAATGTGTTTAATACTGTTTAAAATAAGGCTAAAAACCTTACGCAGATTTCTGTCAGTATGCACGACGAGTCACGGGAATGAATGGCTGTGACTGGTTAAAACCTGGAGTACTTCCGGGTTATCAGACCCACGTGACCGAAGTCATCCAATGAGTTCACAGAACTGTAAATGACAAAAAAATAAAATGTCAAATGTTTTGATCTTAACTGAACAAAAAAAAAGACATTAAAAACACACAATCACTTTGTTTGTTCTGTCAAACGTGATGTATGAACAACAACAACAACAACAACAACAACAACAACAACAATAATAATAATAATATCATCAACAACAACAACAACAACAACAATAATAATAATAATATCTGGAGAAATTGCATTTCCTGCAAAAATGCTAGTATTGCTGAAAAACTTAATGGGAGCTGCTGAAACGGAGCTGAAAATGTTTAATAGTAAAACCGTTAATGCAAGTTCATTTTGAAAAACAGAAAGAGGCACAAAAAAGTTTAACATAGCAGAAAACAGGAGAAAGAAGCTGAAAATTAGCTGAAAAGTTAAAATTARCTCAAAAACAAGCCAAAGGTAGCAGACAGCTAGATGATTAAAGGGGTGATAATAAAGTCAAATTAGCAGAATAAAAAGCATAACAGTACAGAAAGTGAMCATTTGTTGTAAAATAGCCGAAATGTGTAGTAAAACAGCTAAAATGTAGCTGTGTTTTTAAAATTAGCATAAGAAAGTAAAAAGAGCACAAATTTGCGAAACTAAGTAGAACGCAACTGAAATATTCACAAAAATGTAACCCTTTAGCTAATATCAGCTGAACATTAGCTAATAGCATCAACAGCAAGAAGCACAAATAGCTCAAATTAACAGAAAGAAGCACACAAAAAACTTGCTGTTTTCAGCAACATTTGATTTAAAAACTGTACTTT